TGACCCACCATGTTTTTAACAGTGACATGTCAAGTCATGTGTGCACAAGTTCAAAACATGCCAACATTTCAGTGATAAAAATTTGCCATAAAACCAGCTTTACTTTGATCTAACATTAATGTAAGTACTATAATATACCTGTATTCACGCAACCTGTCTTGCTACAGTGGATCGCTTTCAAGGTGCATGTGCTGAAGGCAGCAACAGAATATGTTGGGAGGCATACAAAAATGCTACTTCACAGTTGATTCTTTTCTGCATAATATGCCCTTTAGAAGACAAAATTTCTTCCTCTCCATTTTTATTATGGAAATATAATTTTTGACCCATTCATTGAAAACGTTGCTATAGAATATTATACAATGGGTTGTGAAATTGTGCATCTGCTTTGATCATATTTTGTTTTTTCCATATTGTATGTTAAGATATCGATGTGATGATGGTTACTGGATAGAACGCGATGTAATGACAAAAGGGATCAAATGTCAAGAGGATGGAAGCTACAAACCATCTGTAAAAGATGTCAAGTGCTTAGGTTTGCCATTTCATAACTGGAATTTTATGTTTTTTTTCTAAAGATTACAATAAGAATATCATTGATTATGCATTTCAAATATTTTGGCACATGATTGAACCATCGGCACCATCTCTTCTCTATCTCACGTAAAAGTAATAGAAACGCAGGGGTTGTTTGATTTTTTCTTTTCATGCTCTTTATGTGTTTGCAAACACTTTATTTGTATGCTTATTCCAGGTGTTACCTGCAAGTCGCCTGGCTATGTACCTTCAGCTTATGATACAGATCCAAAGCTCTGGAATCATGTTTATAATGCAGGTGAATTGCTTTTACATACTTTACATAATCATTCTTATGAGCATTTCTTAACCTCTAGTTTTACCAGTTCCAATCTATCTATTTAGTTCAAGTATAATAAGTAGAACTGGAATGATTTTATTGCTGCAGGTGATGGTGTGACATATAAGTGTTATGATGGGTCATGGATTTCGAAGGGGAAATTATCAGAGACATTTTATTGTCAAAATGACGGAGAATGGAGTCCACGACCAAACACAGTAATATGTAAAAGTAAGTGAAAAATTTAATGGTTATATTTGCCTTTTGGTTTAGTCTGACTTTTTTTTTAGCAAAGAAGGCATTCAATAGAGGTTTGTTGAACCTCGAATCTATGAACACTAATGAAAAGCACTGACACAAAATGAGTCATTAAAAATGTGAAAGGTACTAAGCAACTACATCACCTTGAGTAACATCCGTTTATATATTGTTGTTTTATATAGTCTGTGCTATATTAACAATCCAAAAGTCTCTTTTAACAACAGATGTGTATTTTGGGTAAAACAGATAATGTTTAACTTCATGAATTCTGTAGATAAAATGTGTGGAAAACCTTCATATGTTCAAAATGGAATAATAGAAGATGGTGGAAATTATGTTGGTGCATTTCGTACTCTAAAATGCCATGAGGGATTTTGGATTGACCAAGAAGCAAAACAATCTGAAATAGAGTTAGAATGCAGTGTTGAAGATGCAATGTGGTATCCAGAAGATGTTAAATGTAGAGGTATTGCAACCATAAATAAAATATTGTATGCAACAACTTTTAAAAAATATCATTTATCAAAGAAGCTCAGTCATGTTAGTTAGCCGGTACCACACCAAAATTTGAGTTTGATCAAACGTTTAAAAGGCTGGTGCATGCGCTCAGTTTTCTCTGTGGCATCCTGAAAAATTAAGTTTTACTAAAAGTAAACTGTGTTAGGAAATTAATTGCAGATTTTGTGATGTGTTTTATATTATAAAAAATACATTATTAGAGGTTAATATATTTCACACATCTTATTCTCATTTTTATATTGATAATTGAATATTTTAGTTGCGAGATGTGAAAATCCTGGTATTCTACCTGGTTCTCATCAACTGCATATCCCTTCTTCATTCACCTTCAATGAAACAGTTGTATATGAATGTAATAAAGGTCATGAACTTGGCAATTATATCAATGCTACAACTTTGTTTTCTACAACTTGCCAATCAGACGGTTTATGGCTTCCAGATCAATCCAAGTCTATTTGTAAAAGTCAGTATTATCGGTATTGTCTTGCTATTCCGATCAAAATTTTTTTAATATACAAAGTTCAGGTCCTTTTGTGTTTACTTTTTGTCAAATGTTAGATAAAATGTCACAACATTATTAGCACCATTGCTGTGAATAGTAATGCAATAAACTATACAATAAATAATTATTGATGTTAATAGTTTGATTGTCAAATTCTACTTGTATTATGAACATGTTTACTTTATAAGCTATAAGACAGTTGGAACTATGTGAGGTGACTATTTAGTGACACAAATAAAGTTTGCTTGTGAGTTTTTCAAACCATTAATTGTTCCACGTTCTCCTTTTATTTTTGCATTTTTCTTATTTCATTCTTATAAATACATGCTCTATACCATATATTAATCTTTAAACTTGTCTTGATGATATAGCTTTGTACTTACATTGCTTGTTGTTCTGCTTTTCCAGTCAAAACATGTTTATTTAAACAAGAAAGATCACTTCACTCAAAAATGAGTAGATCATTGAACAGCACATTTTATTACAATGAAACTTTGACAGTAACATGTGATCATGGTTATTGGTTTGCTTCTGAAGGAGGGAGGAGGATGCTTCACTTTTATTGTGACGAAACTGGACACTTTTTACCAGAACCTGAGTTTACACTTTGCACAGGTTTGTTTAACCTGTTATATATAACTTGGTTTATCATGTAGGGATGTAAATACAACACTAAAAAAATTCATTAAGCCTATAGTTATTCCATGAAATACTTCATTCATGTTTCAAATGACTTGCATTTTACCTAATATTAACAATTTCTATTACATTGTCTGAATAAAATTCATCATGTATTTCTAGTAATTCATTTAAGGAATGCATTGACAACTTATACTGCCTTTATTCCATTCTATGTTTACTGTGATCCGGACCACAATGATGTCCTCATAAAATAAAGTGCAAATTTTTTGGTACAAAATAGCATTTGTATGTCTAACAAAACTATTTTATATTCACAAAATTATTCTTTAGCTGTTGAATGTCCTGAACCAACCTTGAGACCAAATTCAGTTTTAACTGGAAGTCAACTTTACTTCAATAGTACAGTTCAGTACAAATGTGTGACAGGTTATGCTGCTAAAAACATGCAGATTTCATGGAAGTTTGTATGTGAACAAAGTGGACAATGGGATGAGGAGTTCACTGATGTCGATTGTCAATGTATGCTCCACATACATAGTTTGTTCACATGTCTTACATTATGTTCTTAAACAGTCACATATTCTTAATATTGTTGCTTCAGCCTGTTTAATTTAATGTATGGAAGAAAAATAGACATCAAAGCTTGTTAGAGATGTTTGTTAATCATGAGTCATGTGAATCAAACATCATCTGTTCTATTGGTGGGCAAGGGCTTTTATTTTCATGAGGCATGTTAGTATTAAATTATCGAAGCATGCATTTCAGCAATCAGTTAAAAAGCTTTGATGCATACTAATGTTATGATTAAGAGTTCATGTCATTTATTTTGCTGTAGTGGTAAATTGTGGAGATCCAGGCAAAATTCAAGGTGCGATAAAATCTGGTGGTGATTATTCATATGGCAGTACCGTAATTTACATATGTGATCTGGGTACTTGGTTTCAAAGAGATCAATTCAAGCTTCGTACTACTTGTAAGGAAAATGGAAGATGGGATGAACCACTCCGAGGTTGCAAAAGTATGTTCAATATTTTTTAACACTAAAGAGAACACTCATGTCATAGACTAGATATTTAAATATCTTTTATTATCAGCATGAGCTGTGGTTTGATCATTTCCTAATTATTCTTTTCAGTTGTCGAATGTTTGGATCCAGACATACTTGTACAAAATGCTGACTTTTATGGGGATGATTTTGCTTACCAAAGTCTTGTTACTATTGTTTGTAAAAGAGGTTATTATATTGAGCCCGGTAAATCTCAAGTAACTATACGATGTACAGAGAGTGGTCACTGGGACATTCCTATTGAACAATTTTCATGTAAAAGTAAGTGCTGAATAAATAAAAAAAATATTGAAGGATACAGATATTGTTTACCATTCATTGCTGTTTTTATATCAACCATGAGATTTTTGTAAATATTTTTGCCAGATGAATCTAATGCTTTATTTCTCAGATGGACAATTTTGTTATGAGCTGTGTCAAACACAAAACAGTACAAATTTGCCACGGAAAGCTGGCAAACAGTACAAATTTGCCACGGAAAGCTTCCTTTATTGGCATGTTTTTAGTCTAGTGTTGTTAACAATTTATGTCAGTTACATAAGCTACTATTACAAGTATAGATTCTACATATTAATCTATTTGTTCCAACCTTTTTTGTTCAGATTTCAAATATTTTATCAATTATTTTTTAATTAGATGTGATGTGCCCTGAACCTGAAATTGTTTGGCATGCAACATCATCAGGAAATAACTTAACGTATGGGGCATCAGTCGAATATACTTGCAATAAAGATTATTTTCTTTCTCGAACTGAAAATCGTACAAACATCACTTGTTCCTACATTGGAAGATGGTCACCTGAGCCTCGTAGCATAAAATGTTTGCGTAAGTCCATTTGCCACACAACATTTTCCAGAACATTTTTTTACTGTCCACCGCAGTCTAATACTAATGGTTTAGCTTATTATGCCTATTTCAGCCTCTGAAAATAGATTTGGTATTTCTATAGAAATGAGTTTACACCACATCATATATTAAATTAGCCATCAAAGCAGATTAAACATTTACAGCTCCTTCTGTGAGCTTAATAGACCATCACCAATGCAGCATGCAAACATGTAAACAAATAGTAATTACTAAATAATAACAAGTAATGCCACAATGATTACATGTGTATGGTGAAGTAATTAGACCAAAACATTCACAGAAAAGTTGAGTCATCTGACTTAGTTATATCGAAATCTTATTGGGAAATACGGATCTCCGAAAAAGCAAGATTAGGGTGACTTTACTGTGAATTTCTTTTATAGCTACATTTTTTATAATTTGCTTATTGAGTCGTTTAATTTCAGACTCTATTTCCGAAATATGTTATTCTTCGAAAAAACATATAATATTTTTCCACTCAGTTTCTGATATCATAAAATGTTATTTAATATTGTATTATCAAATTTTAACAATGCAACCATTTCTCAGTGCTATGCAATTACTTTACAGCTAAATCTGCTTTCCTTTGTGATCCACCACAAAATCTTCCAGAGGATTCGTACTATGTTGCAGATAGTTTTGCATACTCTAGTGTTATAAATGTCACATGCAGAGTTGGTCTTTGGTTTTCTCCTTCTGTTTATTCCATGTCCATAACTTGCATGCTTGATGGAACATGGCATCCAGATCCATCTACATTCTACTGCCATGGTAAGATGATTTATTAAATTGTTCATTGAATTCAATTATCTATTCAAGTATTAACAGAGACATGACACCCTGTGCCAATATGAAAGTGACTACGACAATTATATGTTTTTAGATGTTTACTGTGAAGAACCTGAAAGCGTTGAAAATGCTCAGATCCTTGGCTATAATTATGTTTATTATAGAGTTATCAAAGTTGATTGTGCTCCGTCTCATTTGATTTCATCTGAAAATTTCTATGACGTAAGAGCTATTACTTCTCTACTTTGTTATACAAATATATATACATTTTCTGGTATGTTGTTTTGATATGGTATAAAATGATATTTTATATTATAATGTTTTCAATTTATCTTCATTATTATGTTATTTTTGATATTTTAAGAACTTTGCCACCCAAACAGAACTCACAACAATTTCAATACAGTGTGGAGCTGATGGTAATTGGATACCTGATCCTAAAACATTATCTTGTACAGGTTTGACTAATATGTGTTTTGTCTTCACATTTGTAACCCAGTATCTGCTGTAAACTACTAAAATAAGAAAAATTTAAAAGCTCCTCGTTTGGTTATGAGTCTATGTCGGGTATGAAAATAGTTCACTGATTATTTGTTCAAAATGCACAGACTTTCTGGTGGATGAAGTCAACAACCACTGATGACAGCGCAGATTCCAGCAATCTTCTCGCATATAATTATTCAACACAGGAATCAAATCTGTGACATGACAAGTATATTTTTAGCATGATGCTCCAATGGAAGAACAACGTTTGCTGACTGTAAGATTTTTCATGATTCCATAAAAGACCTCATAAGTTAGCATGTCTACAAAATCTATTTCAGTTATAAACTGTTCTCATCCGATTTTGCCTCGCAATGCATCGATAACACAAACTTACATTGATACACTATATGGTGCTGAACTCACCATAGAATGTGATGAAGGATTTTTCATTACTGAACGTATTCTATCTGCAAATATCAAATGCTCTATCAATGGTAAATGGGTGCCTGATCCAGAGATGTTTGCCTGCAGACGTAAGTGCTGTTTTTTTATTTTTCATCGCGTTACTGTCTTATACTTTTTAAAAAATTTTAATTCTTTCTAGCTGTTACATGTGGTTTTGTGAAGCAACCGGCGAACAGTTTGGTATTCGGAAATTCCACCTCCTATGGTGCGAAAGTTGCTTTCCATTGTCTGAAGGGATTTCGTGTGCCATCATCAGACAATGAACAAGAAATAAGAAACTCACAGTTTTTGGAATGCTCCAAAGATGGAACTTGGACCAATGCTAAAGCTATGAGGGATTGTGAACGTAAGTATTTTCTCAAGAATATGAGATAATTTAACATTGAATATAACTTGTATTATCGTCCTTGTATGATTCTTTTCATTTTTTTGCTTGTGATTTGTTTTGTAGACTAAAGATCAAATTAAACTTACAGAGCATTCTCTTATGTGTTATTTTTAAAACCTATTCAGTAACTAGGCTATATATTTTCAATCAAATGTCATAAATTAGTAACAAATTAGTGTGTGAAATTAGACAGTTTGCTGGAGCTATGAACTAAGAATGTAGCACTTATATCTTTGTACAGAATATACAAATTCAAATTCATCCATTATCTATGACAAGGCAGTTATGTTCACATCAGTTTTATGCATTTATTATATGGATAGTTGATTTCATATTGATATATGTAGTGGATCGTTGTTTTGTTAAGCTGTAATTTTTTTCTTCTTTATCTCCGAATTTAAATGAAACTTCTCTTTAATCGATCCTAGCAATATGTCAGTGTGATCAGTTTCAATAAAATAATAATTTCAGGAATAACATGTGATGATCCTGGATATTTGCCTGCATCTACAAAGCATCCCTCAACATCTAATTCTGTGTATGATTACAAATCAGTTGTTGAATATACTTGTAGATCAGGTATGAAATGCAAATGAGTTTTTGTATATGCACCAAGGATACTACACTTGCAGCACAAGTGCTTTGTATATACGTCACTTTTTTCTGCATTTCTGTAAATATTTTATCCTGAGTATGATTGTAAATGCATGTAACAGGATCTTGGTTTCATCGTGGGCACACTCGGATTAGGATAACATGTAGTGATGATAGTCAGTGGTTTCCTGGGATTGCTGAAACCTTGCCGCCATGTGTTGGTAAGAGATTTTCCTTTTCAACTAAGCTTGTGTATATACATCTGTAAAGATTGTTGTCGTTATTTTGATTGCAATGTTCTTCTACCATTTTTTGTAATGTTGAACATTGTAATTGGAAGAAATTTTGGGCAATAATATATTGCTCAATAATGTGAACGTCAATCAACTTGGACGCTTGGACAGTTCAATACAGGATTGACAATATTACTGAAAGTGCATATGCCTCAGAAATTAACAGCAATCTAAACATGGAAATGAAGTTGCCATCATTTGAAAATCAGGCAATATTTTTCATCGCAAATTTTATTCACAATGGCAGGAAAATTTTATTTGACAGACTACAACTGGTTAGTTAGAGCTGGCAATTCTTGGTTTTTATTTTAGAATAATTAATGTTTATTTAGGAAAGGTTGAAGTTGCCTTTTCTTCCACACTAGTGTTTATTACCATGACTCCTTGATGTGTTCACATTTTTTAAACCAAATTTTGCTTTTCTTTTAGATGTGACATGTTTACAACCACCGATGCTTCCTAATGCTGATGCGTCACCATCATTTGATGATAAAGATATGTATTCTGTATCAGAGACAACAGTTTACCTGTGCCAAGATAGATATAAATTCTCAAAGCCTCCATCACATGGATCTTATATTTCAATTACTTGCCAGCATGATGGTTACTGGTCAAAACTGCCTACTGAAACACAGTGTGAAGGTTAAAATTATTATTATAATTCTGAGTGGTCCTGTAGCTGTTGTTATTCTGGCGGGTTGTTATATGATAAATAATATATAAAATAAATTTGTGAATATTGAGATGTTTTCTTATGAATTGGAATTTTACTTCAAATCAACTTTTCCTTATTTGCATCATTATGAGTGGTCTAGTCTAGTTAACTATCGATACGGAAAATAGGTGTATAGATCATTCACAGATGTAGTTGTAAGGTGTGTATAAAGTAAATTCTTCTATGAAAATTAGTGAATTTGTTAAGGTTTATGAAATAAAATAGTTTGATTATTATATACCTGAAATAAAAAATAATTTCATCAGTTTACAGTCAGCTAATTGTGCTAGCGCCCAATTACACTTTGAATTGAAAAAATTTTTATTACATTATAACAAACTGTAAATTAGATAATGGATGATTGTAGTATTGGTTATTAAAGTTTTGTGTGCATATTATGTGGTTTTGTAATAATTAATATATTATTTTGCAGAAATTGATTGTGGATTTCCTCCGAAAATTGAATTCATGAATTATGTTGCTGACAAGACCACCATTGGTAATAGTGTGATGTATTCTTGTATCGAAGGATATAAACTCAGTCAATCTGTAATATCTTTAAATGGAACTCATTTTGGAGCAGTATGTTCATCGAATGGAAAATGGACTCCTGATCCTGATGATTATGCTTGTCAAGGTATTTTAAGTTTGTGTATCAAATTTGAAAATACATATTCAATTGAAAATCCAATGATCACTCGCAATGTTTTAAAGTAAATATTCATGGGTTTTCCAATTCCAACTAAATTTTTTAATAATTTTTTTAATACTTGTACTCCAACTTGTCAACCCTATATTTTAAACATATTTATTACTTGATTTGAGAAAATTCGTATTTTGGGTGAGTGAACACGTACCACTTTATTTTGGCAAAACGCTTTCGCTGTACGTTTTACACCTCACTCGAGGTTTTGTTTGCTGTTCTGATTCTATAGTCATGTTTTTATTTATTTGCTCTTATCAATTATTTCATTGCCTGCTATGCTGATTATGGAATCTAAATAATTTTATGTTTAATAAAAGATAATATTATTGCTTTTGTTCAGTTGTGAAGTGTCCTCCACCTTTGCATTCTATTCCAAATGGAGTAAGACATGGAGATGTTTATGAATATGGATATTCTGTTACTTATACTTGTGATGCTGGATTTACATTTCGCGATCCAAATAATTATCAAAATACTATCAAGTCAACTACAGTCTCATGCATGGATACTGGAGAATGGGATAAATATATTCCTAACCTCAAATGTGCAAGTAACAAAATTCTCATAATTGTTCAGTTTTGGTTGTAATATTTTGTGTTATTTGTTTGGGTTTAAATGAAGCTGTACTGTCTAGAACAGTGCTTCCTAACCAGTGGGTCGCGAAGTATTTCCAAATGTTACATACCGTTTTTGACTAGATCAGGAAATTGTGGCATCATCATTTCAAAACAATTATGAAACAATGCAACAATCAATATTATCTGTCAGTATCAGATCTCATCAGATATTATCCAATATGCAAGATCAAGTTTCGCATTATTAGTAAATTGCATGGTGATACATTGTTTCTTTTCTCATATATTAACATGTCATTGTGGGTCACACAGAAAAATGGCAATAAAAGTGGGTCGCAAACTGAGAAACGACAATGAAAGTCGATTGCGAACTGAAAAAGGTTGGGAAGCACTGGTCTAAAACATCCTATATTACCGTACATTTGAATAGAACTGGGGTTCTGTGCTTTGCATGAATACCACAAATGTTGCCTTGTATCTCAAGTGATTCTAAATCTTTTAACAAAGTTGGAATTTATTGATTGTTCATTTTTGTTGTATGGACCTTTTTGTTCAGCTCTTTTTTGTGACCAACCTTACGCTCCAAAGAACTCATCATTATCTGAATCGACCTTTGAGTTTGGTTCTAAAGTGAAAATTACATGTTTTCCTGGATATTTCATGAACCAGCATAATAAATCGGGAATAAATGAAGAGATTATTCAATGCACAAAAGACCAAACATGGCAACCTAACCCATATAAACTGGACTGTTCACGTAAGAATTTTGAATTCATGATAAAAGATTTGTGGTTTTGTTCAACACTAAAATCTGGTTATGGTTTATTGAGTCAAGATTCATCACATCTCTTTATTTATCTCTATTAAGCAAGTCAAAATGGTTAAGGTGGTTGAAATTCCGCAGCAAGTTAATCCTAAATAATATATAGTGTTTAATATTCAAACTCAATAACTGTTATCTGCCATTATTTCAGCTTTTGACTGTGGCATTCCCGAGTCCATCGAAAATTCTGAGCAATCATATTTATATACAAAAATAGGAAGTTCAGCACAATATCAATGCGAACATGGTAAGCACTCAGATTGAGTTATTATTTACTTCAATTTTATTGTATCATCAATTTTCATTTCAGTTTCATATTTATGGAGTATAGTGTCCATTACCTTATAAATATGTATTTCATTGTGTTTCAGGATATGTAGTTGATTTGGGAAATGGTGGTTTTATAGTAAAGTGGCCTCCTGTTACTACTTTTGTTTCAAAATGTACTATTCAACTTGCATGGACGCCACATCCGAGTACAATAAAATGTGAAAGTATGTGGCATCAATTTAACTACTTTTCTGATGTGTTGCGGATCTGAACAAACAGAAAACATACTGATGATCTATTTTATATCTTTAAAACTCTAAGATGCAACAAACAACTGGTTACATTTCAATATTATACATTGTGAACTCTTACATTTTATTATAGACTTAATTTCTATTATCGTTTTTGCAATTTCATTTAAAGCTTTGGGATCCATGTTCGAGCAATCTACAGTTGAACCGGGAAAATTATTCAGAAAATATTTTGTGCTTTATGAACAGAAAAGATAATGATGCATGCTCGTCTTTTACAAATTTGATAATTGTAAATCTACAGTTTACTATATGTGGAACTTTGTTCGTTTATATTCATTACAATTTAGGAGTGCAATGTTCGGTTCCGATACCCCCTGCAAGAGGTTATATTTCTGGTGGCCACTGGACCAACAGAGAGCGCAATTTCTTTTTCGAAGATGAATCTACAGTAACATGTGCTCATGGCTATGTTTTAGAAGGAATGGATTCACTTGAAGACAAATCAAAATGTTTGGTGAATGGAAAATGGTCCAATAATTTAACAATGCATACTTGTGTGGGTAAGTTGATAACCTGGAATTTTAATCAAGATTACCAGTGAACACTGTTTGACAATCATATAAGCAGAAGCTTTGTTATCCTACAGAGGAGGATGTATCTCCTCAATTTAGATCCAATCAGATGTTTTTGAATAGATTACATCCTTCTTCTTTACTTCTAAGACATTTTCATTCTCTATGATGAAAGTTCATACTGTGAATATTATGATATTAATTATTTGATTTCTTACATGTTCAGATGTTATTTGTCCCAAACCCCCAGAACATCCTGGCACAATAAGATTTTGGAATGGTTTAACTAATTATCGAGATAAAGTTACCTATGAATGTAGAGAGGGATACTTTATAAAACCTGGTAAATCATCTATCACATCCCAATGTTCTTATGACACAACATGGAAGCCTTCACCGACTTTCAAATGTATTGGTATGCTATAGAAAATTTAATCTTTTTGTTATTCTTGTAGTCAAATGTCAAGCCATACCGCCCAAAAGAGATATGTTTGTTTAATAGCTATCTTTATTGTTTTGTTGATAATCTATAACGTAATATTTGGATTATTTAACCATCACTGTATTCAATATCATCTATGCCTTAGCAGAGACTATAATAACATTGTGATCTAAAGTTGCTGTGGCATTTCATTCATGATTTCTTGGTTTTTCCTGCAGTGTTTACACATATTATTATTTTTTGTCAGCCAGTGAACAAGAAGTTAGCTTTATGATAAAGTTTAATTATCTGATACAAATATATTATTCCTATGTGTAATTCAAGACAATGTAATCAAATCTCATTTGTAATATTGCTCAGATACGATTTTGCTATGAATTTTATACATAAATTGTTTATGATTTCAGAAATTCAATGTGCTAATCCAGGAATTTTACCAAATTCTGTAAGAATTGATTTATCAGGAGATGGTAATTATTCTCAAAATTCACAAATTGAGTATCGATGTCTGCCAGGATATTTCATTGCGAAAGAACAAGATGCAAAAGGGGCCTGGATAACAAATTTGAGTCCTGGAATTGATAAAACATCCAGTTCTATTAAACTAACATGTACAAATGAGGGAAAATGGAAACCACTCCCTGTTAATGTACATTGCTCCGGTAAGTTCTATTTTTTATGCTGTCATCCCAATCTTAGGCGCAATACTTATGGAAATTATTGAAAAATAATATTTTACTTTTCAAATTGGAGTAACCAATATTTTCAGAACCAAATACTGGAACAAATTTAAAAGATTTTTTTGAAGCAATAAATGAATATCCAAGTACATTAGAAAGAACTGGTCGATTGAATCATCAACTTACATCTCGTGGGTCATTCTATGAGATTCCTGTCAAGTCATCATCTAAAGCTGAATCAGTTGTTGGATCACATTGTGGAGATGATGAGGTGAATGTCTGAAAGCATGATGATTAAATTGATGATTTATAAAAAAAAATGGAATTTTTTTGAAAATCAACAATTAATATTCATTTAATGTTTGTAAAAATACCAGTATTTATTATAGCAGTATTTATTACTAGAATACAAGATGCAGAAATATACTAAATATAATTATTTGGATTAGCATTTCAACTACACAAATAAATTGTATTCAGTCTTTTCTTTTAATCCTGTGAATGTACTGATAATCATTATGCTTGTTATTACTTATTGTTATTACACTCAGTAATGATTACTTGTTTACATGTCCCTCTGAGGGTATTGCTTTAGTAATGGTTTGTTTTAGTATGTCACAAGCTCAAAAAAGGAGCTAAAAATGTTTCATCTTCTTTGAGGGTGAATGTTTTTTTTGATTACTACTATTTTATTGTTACATTTTTATTTAGGTCATTCTCATTGAAAATCATGGCCAATGGTTACAACCATCATCAAAAGATGATGTGAACACCAAATTACATCCAATTGTCATGGAGGAAACTGGTGAAACTCATGATCTGTGGAATATTTTTGACAATGATCTTGACACATACTGGATGCCTATTGAAGTAGCTTTATTTTTTTTTAAATAAATATATATGTTTATTCATTTTCATAGCAAACTTATGCAAGATACTCACAGATTTTTCTATGCTTCTCGAATTCTGACTAATAATTGATCACATATATATCAGGGTCATAGTGCAAATAAAATTTTATCAACTTACGACCACACTTCACACACCATAGATAAAACAGGTTTGCAATTTCTTCAGCAACCAGAAATGGAATATCATTATTACTATTGGAAAGGATGGGTCGTTGATTGGGATTTACAACATGAATATGTTATTGCCAGCATTCAACTTCATACTTCTGATAATTTTGCTAATGATGTTAAGGTACTGAATAAGCTTCTTTATAACTTGAGTTGTATTTATATGTTCTTGTAAAGTACATAATGAATGAAGGATAAACATATTAAAACAATAAAAATTAACACTTCATCCGTACTACATTTTCAGTGTATAATTGCTATTTAAATAATGTTCCTGCATGCTGATGTCATTTCAAATCACTACATCGATAACATTTTCATGGTACTTGCCTTGTTCCTTAAAAAATTAAGTTTTAACAAATTAATTTAGATGTTCAATGTTCATTTTTCACTTAATGGAGAAGTTTGGTCAAGTGTTGGACCATTTCATGCTTTCATTCGGTCACATAGAGCAGAATTTTTCTATGGTTTTCAACCAGTTCAAGCAAGGTAGGCTTTTCCATGTTTTAGTTACTAGTATTTAATTACTGGACAAATACAAATTTTCAAATTTTTTTTTTTTTCCAGATACATCAGGCTGAATATCACTGTAACTGCATTGATGAGGTCGCCTATAGTGACAAAGTTTGGGGTTTTTGGATCTGAAATTGATTGTGTTTTGGATAGCACCAAGACTACTGATACTATGATCATTCCTGCCTTCTTTGCTGTTCTGCACTTGTTGCTATTTTTTACTTTCTTTCAAGCATATAAATCAGATGTCAAAGATAGATGGAAGGTTTCGAATTTGTATTTTGAGATTTCAAATTTGTATCTGGTTAATTATCATTGCTTCTAAGCGATTTGATCACATCACATTTGCTTATATCAATTTTTGAAACTTTCTGTATTTGCAAGGTATGCATTTTGCTGCATATACCTTTGCACTTGTATGTATGATTACAATTTGAACATTTATTTGCCTTGAAATTTGTTGTGATAGCAAAGTACGTTTCCATTTTTTTTTGATATTTTACACCTTTACCAGCATTTATTTAAATCAATTTGATACCATGTAGTTTTATAGTGATATGCATATCTACAGAGATATATATTGTTGGTTCCTGGGGGAAATTGTGATAGTTTGAAACTAAGAACATTCCAACTCAGTATCACAACATCATGGAAAAAGAGAAATCACGATGTAGATTTGTTGCTGCGTATCGTTGATTCTAAAGAAGACAGCATATCACCTATTATATGGATACGACATTCATATGACGGTTTACTCAGGTGAGCAGAGCAATGATCATAGGTGTACGCTTTGTTGTGGTATCTCTGCTATTTTATGAGGCTGTTGTTTGTATAAAATAATTTATAATGATATTTATTAAACTCTGTCAGTTTTATAGTTTGCACGTCACTTAGCCCTTTCCGTGCGGTGGGCACGTATACGTACCAACCACAAAAGTCGCTAGATTGCGGCGGGTACGTTGATGTACTCCACTGTTTTATTTAGCAATCGGTCGCAAACTGTTGGTCTAGTTTTTCCGGGTTCTAGTTTATTGATAAGAAGTCTTCTTCGAGGTTAACATAAGCGACGGTAAATCTCGCTTTCGTTTACGACGGGAATTTTATTTGCGGCGGAACGAGGGAGTGTTTTTTTAATTTATGCAAATTTCGGTTTTTTGGGGAGTTATAGAAGACATATTATCCCTTCCATCTACGAAAGTATTTTGAGTTAGATCACGAAATTGCTACAGCAATATTATGCTATTGTTTGCCAACCACGAAGCGGTAACAGTAAAGGATTTAGCGAATATTTCTATTTTTTATCACGGTTTGAAGTTTCAACTCCCAAGAAAAAAAAATGCCTTTTTTCTATCCGATTTGTGACTCAGACCACCACTTAGTAAAAAACTTTTTTTTTAATCGCCAATTGCAAGCTCTTTAAATAAGCTTTCCAACGAGCCGTCAGTGGGCAGCAGAGGATCATCAGTTTTTCGTTAGTCGATCGATTAGTTGTGGGGGTACAAATGCATAAAATCGGCGTAGCAAATACGATTATTTAAAAAAAATAAAAAAATAAAAATCGCATGGAAAGGGTTAACTATGTTCACATTCATTATCATGGTTGTGTAGTGGGCATCGTGCTATTCTTTAGGAATATGCTCGCCACTGTACCTCTGATTACCCTGCGAGAGTTCGCATGTTGGAATACCATGCTGGGATAGTTTTGTGCAAGAGGCTATCTCGCTAACTAATCCCATACCCCACTCGGACCAGTAACCGGATGAGTTCAATCAATCAAACATTTATTCGTCATCACAAAAAACAACGAATGCACAAAAAATTAGTACAGGAAATAAATATACTACCGTAATAATGTTAGTTGTCCGACTAGAGTTGCGAGGAACCTTATTAGGTCTTCAAGCAGCGACACCTAAAGCGCTGTTACTGGTTTGGTGTAAAAAATAACCACATTTGCTACAAACCTTGACTATGCAATAGTCATTATGATGAACATATTTTGACTTTTGAAATATTGAAAAACTTCGCAGCAAACGCAACTTTACTAAAATTATATAATAGAATAAAAAAAGAAAAACAACTTGAGGAGAAATTTACAAAAAAGGCATCTTTGGATAAATATATTTAAGTTATAAAGAAAACACACGATAAGTGAGGGGACAATGGTTATTGTAAAGGCCGTGGTTCACCATAGGATTAAGCTGTCTTATTGGCTTTCCTCTCCATCGGGATGAATATGTAAATCCTATCCTATATTTTTGCATTTAATCCTTTGTCATTTTGTTTCAGGACTGGTTTCACAGACACATTAGCCATTAACATTCCAGTTGATATTAATCTTGTTGAGAAGATAGATGTTGTATGCATCTACAAACAGTCAAATATCAATAAATCATCATCTCAATTTCCAATTCCTAGTGGACATGCTTCTGAAAACTTGTCCAAAATTCTATCAGAGCTATCGATGACAGCAAGTGAATCACCAATGGACAAAGCTCCATCAATTCACTATGATTATATTCCGGGGACACTAAGACAAATCAGTAATATATTCTTATCTGGTTTTGATTCAGAAAATCATGTTATAAGCATCAATAAATTAGTTTTGATGGATCCCGTTAACAGAATAAAAAAAGAGTGGAGTAGTGTCACTTCGGGGTCATGTAATAAGCAAGCAGGAAAATATTTCAGACATGGTGAACCTGTAACCTTTGAACTTATTGATACCTCATCAAAATACCTTAGGCCAGAGAGTGGTATCCAAAAAATGTTATCTGTGATTCTGCAAGAGTATCCACTTGCATGGCTATTCTATTGTGGCCAACAAGTTCATCCAGTGGTGACAAACCTAACACGAATGGAGAGATTGTGCTTTGTTATTCTTGCTGTGTTTCTAAGTTTCCTAGTAGAAGCACTTCAACATGGTCTTTCTGATTCTACATTATATTTTGCTTCTGATGATACAATGAGTGTCTTGCAATTTGTTGAGGAATACTTTGAAATCAGTCGATTTCTTATGCTTTCAATCCCCGTAATTTTGCTGATTGTTACTTCTCTTGTTGGAAAGTTTTTATCAGGAAAGTGGAGCAGGAGAGTTGAGGATCCTATAAGTTATTGGCAAGGTAAGGTAATATATATTGACAACAGTTAGTAAACTTGTTTGATGTTAAATTACTTTAAACTTGAATTACAAAGTTGGTCTGTCAAAATTAAAAAAATTTTGATACTTCCAATTTATCAGCCTCTCTGACACATATGTACATCATTAGATATTCAATAAGGGGTTCTGTCCGCTTGCAATCCTATAAAACAGGGGTTCCCAAACCGCGGGCGAAATACAGCCCGTGTAACGATTTAAAATGGCCCGCCGAGCTTATGTGAAGTAATGTTCAACAGATTTTATTCCTACCTTTTTGCGATCTAGATACCGCTAATTTATGTCATTATCAGAGTTCAAGCACGTGTTTATCGTAACAATTCAATTATACCAGTATATCAATTATAGGTACCGGTGTTAGGATTACATAGGGCAGTAATTTAGTTATCAGCCATATAGGTAGGAAAGCTTAAAGATGTCAGAAATCAAACAAAAACTAGATTTCGAAAACTAACGTTTCTTGGATAAATGGCGGTGTTCGTATTTCTCCATTAAAAAGTATCAAACTTTAGAGATTTGTCTTCTTTGCCAACGAACTATTCCAGTTCTGGAGGAATACAACATTAAGCGCCATTATGAGTCAAACAAACATGTTTCAAAAGAATGTCAAATGAAAGTGAATCCACTTTTGGGCACTACATTCTTCCGGCCCGCGAACATCTTTCCGATTCTAATTTTGGCCTGCGTCCAATAAAGTTTGGTATAAATGCTATAAAAAAACCCAATTAAAGTGATCTGAAACTGTTGATACTTTGTGTGATAAATTCTCGGATATGACAGAGCTACACCTACAATGCAAGTGCGAGAATGATTCTCCTAGTATATTGTTTGAACAATTAAATTTTTCTTTGTTTTTTGAGAAAGATGTACTCTCAAGATCAGAACTATTTTTTTTTACTATCGTTACAAGGTACCAAACCACTCTACTCAGTATGGAAAATATTACTGAGCTGTATGCACAATATGATATCGGAAAAGCAAGTTATGGAAGATGAGAAATCGGAAGAAGGAATGAGTTTGGGACATTCTGCATCAAGACTCCATCTTTCTTCCATTAATCAAAAATCCGCAACAACTGTGAACTCTGGTCCTGTTGAGTTGAAACAGGTAATATAATTTTTAAATGATCAGACATGAGAATTAGATAATTTATTCTGAATAAATATTTTGAGAATATATAGAATTGAGTTTGGGAAGCTTTACTTTCAACATCCTAGTATTTTGATATTTCAGCTCATCCATGAAGAGATCCAACCGGTAGTCAGAGCCATACCAAATTATTTGAGTGAAAATCGAAGCTTGCGTCAGTTTTTGTACCCAGAACCTGAGAATGTGAGCAAAGATGAACTTTTTGCATGCAGCAGTTCAGTTATTGATCAGACTAGACAAAGCCATTTGGTATCTACTTCAGCGCAAATCAGTGTACCAAGTTCGATTTCATATCCAGAATCTGACATGATGCAAGAATCAGAGGTAGAGGAAATTAATCTTGAAAAAGTGACATTAAAACCAAAAATGAGTGAAAGTGACTTTACTGCTTCAACAGAATCTATCTATAAGACAGAGTTTCATGTAAAGCATCATTCATTGTCTTCAAATCTTCAACATGAGCATCCGTTTCTTTTCCCTTCTTGTGGTGTAATAAATCGACCCCAGTCCTTAGCCTCAGATATTGATTCTGTTGAAGTTTTTGAAAAAACTGATGATCGTCCAAATGTAATCACTCATCGTCCGTATCCACCAGATGATCCATTCAAAAATAATCTGTCCAATGAGTACAAACCATTTCATTTCACACTTGCTCGTTTTATACTTGCTGCTTCAATAATTATCTTTGCCATATCAGTGACTATTTATATAGTTTCCAATACCACAAATTGTTCTGAGAAAACATCTGCTCAAGTTTCAGTTTTGTTATTACTCAGCTTACTTATGAATATCTGTTTAGTCATTCCAATATGTGCTTGCATTATCGCTTTTAGTTTGTACCTATTGAATAAATTGGGAATTGGATCTTGTTTTCGAAATAGATTATGAATTTTACCGAGTTAATAGTTTGATTTGTTTTCGCATATTATAATGCCACCTATTGTGTTATTTTTGTTTGTGTGCCAAATTATGGTTTCAATCAGTTCTTATCAATGAAAATACATATTAGCTGTTTTAGTATGGATGAATATTCTGCAGTTGGTACTGTACATATGGGATGCTCAATAAGTTTCAAGTTTGGATATTTTTCAAACCCTCCTTTCAATGACTCATTGTTCTGTTATAAGACCTGATGCGAGGATTGGATTGGAGTCAAAAAAGAATTGCCTAGAATTCGGCATTTTTTAACTTTGGGTAAATTCCTTCATTATCAGGGGTAAATTTGTGAAAAAAAGATTCAGAAGGTGAAAAAAATACACATCTGTTTGATTGTTTTGTTGCAAGGAGCGTTGTGTTATTGAAAAGTTCTGAGAAATCAGTATTAGCCTATTATTATCAGTAGGTTTATATTTTAACCAATATTGAAAACAACACCTTCAAATAAGCCTACTTCTCCGTTATTTTAACCATTACATTAAATTTAGTCACAAAATAGCACACTGGAATTTGTTAAAACAGAATAGCACGAAAAAAAAGTATCAGAACGATTATTTAGATTTTGGGTTTACGTATCTTATTCGGGTTGGTCTTCATATTCCCAGTTTGTTCTGTGCATGAAAACCTTTTCAAACAGTACAATGAAACCTGCACGATAAAAACCTAGTCAACGAGTAATAAACGATAATTCTACATCATTTTTCCGCTTGACTGATGTAAATAGAGATTATTTTGAAACAACTTAGCATGACATAAAATCTCATCTGCCACCTAAAAAAGCTGCAAAAGGAAATCGAGCGATATTTTCCCGAATTCCACATTTTGATGAGATTGGCAAGGAATCTCTTTGTATGTGTAGTAAAGGATGTTTCTGAAGTAATCGAGAAGAATTTATAGAATCAACAAACGATTCTTTCGCTAGAGACAATTTCGCACTTACATCCTAGATGAGTTTGGGGTTGAAATGCAACGTTCTTGTCCAAGACTGGGTACTAATGCCCTGATGCTTCTTGTTCCCTTCCCTACGCCTTACCTGTGCAAGTGCGGATTTTCTGCGTTGCTTACTACCAAAGCTAAAGCACGGATGAGGCTCAATGTCGAACCTGACTGACATGCGTAGCGCATTGTTTGCTATTTCACCAAAATCTGGTTGCCATAAACAAGGGCATACGTCGAGCATTAAATTTGATTGTTCTTTGTTTTCCTGAAAGTAAATTCATGTAGCTTCCTGACCAAGCCTTTGTGTTTTTTCTCGAGTTTTTTGTTGCTATCGGTTTTTGGCTCGAACTCGTTTGAAAAAAAGTTTTAGTTTATAATACTTATAAACTTATACTTACTCCGCACTCTCCCCAAGATGGGGAAAAAAGGGGGTAGAATGTTGAGAGGAAATTCGCTATTCATACTTTGCTTGACGAATTTTTAATAAATGATTATCAATGGCTCGATTGGGGGTAAATATTGTAATCTTGTTTGATAAAGGGGTAAAATATGCAAAAAAAAGTATCACTGGCCTAGATTGACCTCCCGCCTTGGTTTTTATACATTGCCTGATAAGGATAGGGTTTTCATACTTATCCCGTAGGAACACGGCGTATGGCTCGTCTCGTCCGCTTACCAGGCTATAACGAAATATGCGATTTTGGTTTGAGCTGCATCATGTTAGGCTTTAGGAATATGCTTGTCATCACACATCTGGTACCGTACGCATTCCTGGGGAAATAATCACGGATCGATTACGTGGCGCGTCGTGCTGAGCGTTAGAAATGCCCTTGTCACCGCATCTCTGATTACCCTGCGTGGGTTCGAATCCCGTTAGGGGTAATTATGTGCGAGATGGTAGCGGGTGGATGGACTCGACGTCGTAGGGTGTTTCACGTAAACGCTGATCGGTTAGGGCTTCCGCTATTATTAAGTATACACCTGGTTCCTGAGAACAAAACAACTAGCTAACCGATCCCATACCCGAAATGGACAGGTAACCAAAAGAGAAGCCGTGATTCGCCATATGATTAAGTTGGTTCGTCGACTTTTCTCCCCCGGATAAATATGTAAATCTACCCTGTGGGAGGGGATTGCTCGATGGTCAGTTAACATGAATTGGTGACTGGAAAAGACGTCGTTTGCCATGATATCAAGTCGCTTTATCGGCTTCCTTCTCGCCGGGATAAATATTACAACCGTATCATGTAACTGTAAATTTCACACATCGCCAAAATTATTCCATAATAATTTCAGTCGGAAAAAGTTCGTGTTATGTTTCCTTCCCAATTAGTTAGTTCTGTGGCATGTTTCGGAAGTTCAAGCTAATGCATAACGGATTTTGCTAAGTACTAAACGCGGGCGGAAGTGGGAAACGCAATGCAGGAAATTTTATTGGAGGATGTTCGCGAAGCAATATCGTTGAAATATTAGGTTTGGTATGTCGTGTTGAATTACTGCCTAGCCCATGTGTCACTGGGGTACATGTACCACTTGGTGTTAATAGTTTGAAGATCTGCGTTTAGGAAATAAAGTTATTATATAATAATTATAAGAACTTCCTAGAAAGCCACAACTACAACCATAGTAACCACCAAGTCTACTTTAGCAGCTCACATGCCTTATTTTGCGAAGCAGGCACGCAAAACGAAACATCAGAATTGTGGGTACATGAGCGAACCTATAAACTGTTCAAATGGTACCAATGAGCAGAAATTTTGGGTTGGGTTATTGAAACCCCGTACCTAAACCAAGGAAAGCTTAGTGAAAGGTATACGAAAACAAAACCGTTAGTAAAATGCTCATAATAAAATACATTTTGATTGATAGGCTCCAGTCAAATATCCAATTGCAGGCCAAATTACTATGCCTTCATTGCACGCAATGTATATATCAATTAATATCATAATTAATTTCAATATATATCATTATTATAGCATTGTAGATTTAAAAGTAAAGAATTTAGTTCCAGGAGATAGAAATAACTTACCACAGCATTCAGATGACAAGTTCGCGATAATTTTGATCAATGCGCTCTTGTACGTGCTGAGCGTATGGTGCGTGTAATATTTACAGGAAACATTTCTGCATTTGATTGATTCAAAAGGAAGCTTTGTTACGACATATTGTCATTATAGCGAAGAGGCAACTTCTCTCAGTCGCGGAATCCCTATACTCGGCGAAGGATCTTCCCAGTTGACTATGTTTTGCACATGTTAGGAGTTATTTGCTTTCAGATAACACCGTGAAGTAGAGTTTTATGAGGTAAAGGAGGTTTCGGGAATTAGGACAACAAAAAGTAATATCAGTGGTTAGATGTTTGGTATATATATGTTTGTGAAGTATGGATAAGTATAAGAAGCAGAATAATATTTTGAAATTTCTCTTTTATATAATCATTCCACGCCCACGGCCTGTGACAATGTGGAAAATTGTCAAGTATTCGGAATACCAGGGGTGTGTTGGATAATAAACATATTTCGAGCACTCTGTCGTCAATTTGAATACGCTCTCATTATTTGTTTATGATTTATCACGGAATAGAATGCTTACCATTCAAACTAAAGTAAATCTTTATAAATAAAATGGGAACATCTCTTTGCTTTGCCTTCTGGAAGGCAATTAATCGAAAAAAGACATTGACTGAAGACTTGTTGCAAACAGGTGAGGTGAATATTCAAGTTTTTCGACATTTCTTTTTGTATTGGAAAATATGAAAATTTGTAAAATATCATTTTTTTCGTCCACAATGCCAATGTATATTACGCCTGAATTCCGTTTATTGATAACATATTTGGTTCACCTCAATTTTTGCATTGGGCGGTTAAAAGTAGAAAACTTGATTAAAAATCAAATATATATCTAGAAGGATTGAGTTGCTAAAACATTGCTTTGAAATGTAAGTTTATTATTACATTGCATCGTGAATCGCGCGACTCTCTTGGGTAAGTCTCATCGTCAAATTAGTCATTCTGATTATCAAATCAGTCATTTTATTTATCAAATATTCATATATTTAGCAATATTTCTGTACCATTGTGATCAGATGTTATCACACGGTGTATCTCTAATACATTTCAATATCAATTTAGATTTGAAAAAATGTCTCAATCTCGTCGACCTCACATTTCTAGCTATCGGCTCGATGGTTGGAAGTGGATTATATGTTATGACGGGTACGATAGCCCACAATGTTGCAGGTCCGTCCGTGATAATTAGTTACATAATAGCTGCGGTGGCATCTGGTCTCTCTGCTATTTGTTATGCTGGTAAGTGAACCACGTAGCAGTTTCTCATCCTCCACCAGGTGGGCAATATGTTCTTACAGCCAAATCAAGTTTATTTGCGAATGTTTACTTTTCTTTTCAGAATTCGGAGCCAGAATTCCCATAACTGGTTCGGCGTATCAATTCACTTATATTAGCATCGGAGAATTTTGGGCTTTTATCATTGGATGGAATGTACTTATTGAACATATAGTTGTGGGATCCGCCGTAGCAAAGGCATGGAGTGGGTACGATGAAACTTTAATTTTATTAAACCAATTTTTTATTCGTTTTATATCATTTTGTTTCCATTCTGCAATTAAATCTCGTATTAACAACTGAACAACCGAAATTTATGTCCTTTATTCACAGTTATCTTGATGCCGCATTCGGAAATGTTGTTCAAAATTATCTTTTACAAAACGCTCCAATGGCCGATGGCGGTATGTTCGCAAGATATCCGGATCTCATTGCTATTGCTGTTTTGATAATAATAACAGTAATTCTTGCAACTGGTGCCAAGATATCTTCGTTGGTAACAACAGGATTTGCTGGACTTAATCTGCTCATTGTGGTTATCATAATTGGTAAGTGATTGGTGTGATGTTGGGTGTCACAAGAAGAGAATTTCGTTGTTTTTATGTCTACGTCACAAAATTAATTAAACCTGTTCAAACATAAAAATTGCCGTCACTGCATCACCATGTAAACCCTATTTGGCTAAAGTTTGAAACACAGCATGCATAACTCTTGTTTGAAGTCTTTTAATATGTCATTGTAGCATCTTATGTTGATGATTAAACATTCTTCACAAATATACAATATTTCTATCTTTAACTAACTAGGTACTGGTTTTTACCTGGGTGATACCAATAATTGGACTGATGTTGATGGCGGATTTTTTCCATACGGATTTTCTGGGACTATGAGCGGAGCTGCCAGCCTAATATTTGCCTATGCTGGATACGAAGCCATTGGAACCGCCACAGAAGAAGCGTTGAATCCGAACAGGTTATTGTGAAAATATTATGTCACTGGTTTTGTTTGTATTTACGTTTTTATTTTTTTAACTTTGACCATATTGTTTTTTTTTTTCGCAGGGATATACCACTATCACTTCTCATCGGATTGTCGGTAGTTGCAACAGCGTATGTTGGTGCATCAGCTTCTCTTACATATATGATTCCTTACAACATGATTTACGATTTAGCTCCATTTCCTAATGCGTACATACAATATGGATGGAACTGGGCAAGGTTCGTGTTTTTCTTATATTATATCATTATATTTTCTTATAATATTTAAAAAAATTATTGTAAAAATTTAGTGAAATTTCGCCTTCTAAAAATATGCCTGATTACTAAACGACATGTAATGTTATTATAGCCGTTAATTTTACCGCATGTCACCGTAAAATTGCTGACAGTCATTTTTTCCTTAGTTTATGTGTTATAAAAAAACTTAAAATTCACGTTCTGTCACATTGAAAATGGGCATGTATGTGTCATTTGAAATAATATTGTAGCATGTAGATATTGCATTTTAAAAGTCTGTATTATTTACGTATATAGCCTATAAACAACTTGCATTCTAGTACTATTTAGGATAATTTTAAGTAGTCACGTTATTTGCCTCAAGGTAAGGTAAAATTGTTTTACAGTGCAGTGGCGCATTGTGTTTCTGGCTATATGTATATTTTTTAAAATCGAAGTATAAAAATTCATGTTTAAATGTTCTCATATAGAAAGAAATATAAAATGAAAGAAAAAAAAAAAACAATCACGTGCCGTAACCTAATTTCTTTTATTGATAATTATACGATAATCCTCAAAACACAGGTTCCAGCCCGATAACTCAAATGTAATTACAACGTTTTTGAACAGGTACATCGTCTCGATCGGTGCACTCGCTGCCATGACAACAGCTATGTTAACTTCGTTGTTTATCGTACCAAGGTATTTTCTTGCAATGTCTAGAGATGGGTTACTGATGGAAATATTTGCAAGAGTCAACGAGAAAACAAAAGTACAAATACACTTTTATGATGATGTATCATAAAATTATAATTGTATAATGCATTTCCTAAAAACCCGATATGGCATTACAATATATATTTCACATTGTGTTAAATTAAATATCATGCCATATTATAATGTCACGAATATTGAATGCCTCTTTTTCCCCTCTTCAACTCAATTCTGGGTCCGCAAATGTATGCATGTTGATATAATAATGAATATTTTAATCCTTACAATTGAGTACTTGCCTATTTTTCGAATATTATCCGATAGAATCCAAAAATTTATTACTGGTGTCGAAATATCAAAAATCACGTACTGTATAGGTTTGCAGACTTGCAGCCTATGAAAACATGAGATAGAAGTATATTCAACTTGATATGCTAACTTTCTGAGTGGCTGTCAATTCTGATTGTGAGGAGATGGTTTTATATTGCGTCCTGTGTTTTTTTTTCCATCCAAGACTAATTTTCCCACCTTGTCTGTTTTTGCGAGTTGAATTAATCAGCATGTTTTTGTTCAAATAATAGTTCTTTGCGTGTCCGTGTTATGTCCTAACGAAAATTCTGACCAAATTGTTATTTCAGAGTAACGGCTAAAAATTCTGTTATTTAAAACCTGTCATTCAATCTGAATGTGCTATACATCAGGGTGTTTCAACCTGCTGCCCACAAGGACAAATTGTTAATTGACACAAGAGGAAGTGCCAATTTTAAATAGTGTACGGCCCGCGAAACGAGTTTTTAATTTAGTTTAATCTGGTACGTGCTAGTAAGTTCAATCCTTTTGCGTTGCAAAGCCTATATATATCCGAGTCCAATTTATTATCTATGGCGTCACAATGCCCTAACACCGAGCTAGTGCAAAGCGAACAATTCATGTCATACGACCAATAACTAGAATTTGTGTACAAGAGGGCCTATGTTAAATAAAGATGCGGCCAGCGGTTTCACACAGTTATTTGTATCTGGCCCTCCGGTATTAAAGGTTGCACACCCCTGCTTTACATAATGTAAGAACTGAATTTGCTCAATTTGCAATGTCAAATTTTTAACAGAATTTTATATCATATATATGGCTCCATCCACAATGAAAATTTCTATCTCCATACAATTTAGTAAGTATAGTTGCATTTTAGACGCAGAAAGACAAAGGATTTAATAATGACTTCAAGGCAATACTGTGAAAAACAGCTTTTGAATGAACAAATTTTGTTACAGGTTCCTATATTTTCTATCGTGACTTGCGGACTAGTATGTGTACTATTTGCTTTTGCATTTGAAGTTGATGCACTTGTAGAATTCGTCTCAATTGGACAACTAATTGCGTGCACTTTCGTCGCAATTTGCGTCATAAAACTTCGATATCAACCAAATTCCATTACGAGGTAACATGTTCCTGATAATGATAAATCGGTTAAAAATGAATGTATTTGTTTAATTGCAAGGCTTTTATGATTCTACCTGACTGAAATAAACATATTTAGCAAATAGCATGTTCAATATATTATTAATAATGGGTAAAAGTACACTATCGCAAATTAGTATAAGTGTAGACGCTGTTTACACTATTTTATTTTTGTTGTTGTTTTTTAGATTCATGGATACATATACCATTAATGAAAACCAATCTGATGCATCGGAAAAATCTCCGCTGATGTCGCATGTGGTAAAAACTGCTGAGAAAGATGAGACAAAAACCCAAAGTGCTTCGGGTTTATCTTCTAATTCCGAAGTAACCATCTTCGAGGAGACTTGGCCAAATGTTGATCAAGGAGTCGGTAGTGTGAAAGCCGAAATTTTATCTAGCAAATTTGGTTTTCTTTTTCAACCTCTAGTGAAATTTGAAGCCGGAGAAGTTCCAAATTATCTTCTAATGTTGGCAACTTTTGCTATTACCGTTACATCTGCACTCGGCATATTCACTCAAGATTACATTTCTTCGTGGTGGAACATTGCTCTGATTTTTATATTTTCATCCATCGCGACAGTATCAATTCTGCTATTGCTCGTATTCAAGCAAGACGAAAGCATCAAAACTTTCAAGGTATTTTATTTCTATTGGAAAAAATTCTTTCGACTACAGAATGACGACATCACAATATGTGCTCAAATAAAAAAAAAATTATGCGATGTCAATACAATATCTCACAAATATGATCCAGTCATTTATTATCATCAGTTTATTTTAATTTACACAGGTTCCTGGAGTTCCGTTTGTCCCATTTCTCAGTGCAATCATAAATATTATTCTTATTTTAAAACTTCAGCCAATGACTTGGTTAAGACTTGGAATTTGGTGCATATTGGGTAAGTTTCAGTGGAGTGGGTAACTAAGGAATATTAAACACGTTGAATATCTTCAGTAACCGAAATTTAACTAATTATTATCTTCCAAACAATAGCTTGTAACTTCTAGCATCGAAGTTTCTACTGTTGGCTGAAAGCTCGCGATTCGCGATTTTGTTGTAATCTTACAGTATACTGCAAAGAATACCATAGCTTAGGTTTTGTCATATGCCTAGGGCGGTCATTGCAAGTTCATTTCATAGTAACGATTGAACTTCATTTTGTATATGACTAATCTACGGCTGCTGTGAGCCAAACAACCAAGCCATTTTCAAGTCATAACTTGAATAAAGAAGCCTCATTGCATTTAAGTCATTTAACGGGAATTCGATTAATATGTAATTTTTCTACTTTCAGTCTACTTTCAGTTGCTTTACTCAATACTTTCACTTCTATTCTAGGTTTGGCAATATATTTTGGTTACGGATATAATCACAGTGCAGAAAGAAAGCGAAGATGATAATATGTGTTTTGCATGGAGGAATCGTTTTGTTTAAAATTCATCAGAGAAACATTTAGATTACTTTTGTATTTTTATACCTATATTATTTATGTTGTTATATCAGATAAATAAGACTATATATACTATATAGTATACATATATTTTACTTGTGATATTTGCTTGAATTTGTATATGACTTTGTGCCTGCGATGCTGAAAATTACCACCAAATCACGCGAGAAAAATCACACTTGTACACCTATTAATATGTTTTTATTTCGCATATTAATATATGATTGCACATATAGTCCAAAGAATGAACGAGTTTACAGATATTCACATAAAGAGTTGTACGGATTGTTTAATTTCTGTATATATATGACCTGACATATGTTCGTACAGCTAATCGATAGGAACGTGGTGATAGGGATTTTGTTTGACTTCTCATGAAAAGTCGTTACTACCACTTCATCAGCATGCAGATGAAATTAGTGCGTCTTTGAATTTGAACTGGCATTGTTGAAGCTTGTGCTCCTTGGAACCTAAGAAGAGCCCCTACTAATCTTCAGAGTTTTTTCAAAAACAACTAAGTTTTTGATGTTGCACTTGGTGAAAGTGAAGGAATTCCAAACTACAAGTCGCATTAGTGTAAACCTCGCACAAATGAAATTACTTGAACATGAATCGAAATTTTACATATTGTTGGTAAAGTAAGAGTTCTATGGTGAGGCTATTAGGTCGATATTGTACTAAATTCTTGTTGTTATTATTTTTGGGAAAACTGGACTATCACCGCAAAGAACGGAAAATTTGATTTCAAATTTTACTACTTAATGATTACAAGTGCGTTTCTCCTCGCATACATATGCAATTTACGTCACTGTCCCTGTCTACCAATCTAATAAAAGACATTCACGACAGGATCAATCCTCCACCAAATATATATATATATCTTAAAATGAAAATTCTCATAACGGACGAAAGTTTATATATTGCATCATATTCATATGATTATTTTCTGTTATCGCTTGTATCTAACCTGAATTGTTATGGAATACAGTATTTTGTTCATAAAAGAATTCCTCTCGCCATTAGATAACTTTTCAGACCAATGAAAACTCTAATACCAGTAGAATCATTTCAATTATAGCTTAGATTTGTAATATCAGAAGATGAAACTCGTATACTTCATATAAATGCTAAGATATCAAAGCATGTATGTAAATTTGATGTCCGTATGGCCAAGCTTTTCTTCTATTATTTTATCCATTAATTCAGACTGTGCAACGGTAAACGTCTCTTTCCATCCTCCAACCTGCCCTAAAATACATTTTATGTTTGCTATGTGACACAGGGTCTGGCATTTTAATATTATTATCATTACAAAACAGCCGACGTCTCACGAGACTAGTAATTCAAAAAACATTTGTGTGCTGATAATTTTTCTTACGAAAAAGTTGCAAGGGAAAGTACGAAACTTCGCACGTGGTTTGAAGATTTGTCAATGATGAATAAATTGAAAAGAGCTGTTTTGCAGTAAAGCATGTTTGAAAAAAACACAGTTACTGTGGAAGATAATAGTATATGTAAATAGTATTAACAAATTCTATGTGAAACTTCGGTTCTCTTTTACTTCTAATTAGTGTAAGCATGATATCTCAACTGATATAAAGCATTATTACGAAACCTTCCCTGTAAATATCCTGTTAATTAAATTAATGATTAATTTGTTTTTACCTTTTCTCATCATTGTCATGATATTCTGTACTTTCGCGAATTCACTTACGCCTAATTCTGCATTTTTTTTCATGGCGCCAAACGATGTAGATTCAGCAATCGCTGCTACTCTTTTATCTGTTATATCAACTTCCAAAAATGTAGCTAATCTTTGAATTTCCCTCTTAATATCCTTGTTAAGTAATATATAATAATAATATTTATTAGGAAATAATATCAATAATTTACATAACTATATGGAAAGCAATTGCTTTAATTAAACTAATAACAATTGTTTTAGAGGCTATACACTCTTTAACGTATAAAAATGTTCCCGTAAATAAAATGAAACAGCGAAGTTGCAGAGAAAGCGATTGCCCACAACATTAACAACAAATTAGCCAAACGATCCATCGTTATACTTTGTGTCTACTGTCTAATAAATTAATAGCGCAAATTAAAAGATGGGTCTGTGTTGAAATTTATGATATTGACGATTAAAACAACACTTATTCTTGGTAGTCGCCCTGTGCTTGTATCTGATTTAGGCGTGTGAAAAATATAAGCTGCTAACCGAGTGAGAAGTTGCCTACATATTACTAACCTTTTTCATATTTTCAAATATTAGAAACATGACGTTACTATCACCTTTGTGCTTATTCCACCCCAGCAAAAATTCAGGATACCATTCACCCGGTTTTGTTATAAGAGGGTGCTTGCCTGAAAGAAAGATAAGTCACGAAAAGCATACAATTCAAGATCAAAACAAGAATACTATCGCATTTCATGTTTTGGCTCTCTATAGTTCAGGGTAACTCAACCAGCGGTCCAAATATTAAATTTGAGCTGCATATGCTTCTTGATTTTGAAAACAAGCCATGTAGTCCACTTCATATCTATTATTACCTGCTACCTGTATTTTATAGTCGTGTTACGACTTTAGCTACAATATTACCTTGCACGTAATCTGACAAAAATTGATTCCAATCGCTGCTTAACACGTCACGCACCGAATCAAAATGATGATTTTTCGAAAAGTGATACCAAGAAACCGCTTGATATTTTGGATTTCTCACAAGAACAACAACCTTTAGACATAGAAAAAGAAAGTAAATTTGTTATGACAAAAACAATATATGGATTTCTACTTCTTATATAGTATAAATTTCAGCCTCATTGTTAATGTGAGTTATACGCATGAAGCATAATAAAAAATGTGCTGTTGAACCAGAAATTGCTTCAGTGAGATACCATATTTTAAGCCAATAGGAAGGCCATTGCGTAATAATGAAGTAGCTCTACCAATCGAATATCGTGCTAGATTTTTGTGGCCGATTTTATACACGAGATCTTTGTTCAAAGTATATATATATATAATCAACTTAAGGTAGGTTATGTCAATGAATAACTAACGAAGAACATTCATTAAACTATGAAATGGAGAGAATTTGAAAAAAATTATAGAGATATGGCAAGGCAACAAAACTTGTGATGCGGCTAATCTTAGTCGCCAAATCAGTGATAACTCCTGATTTCGGTCTGAGAGGTGCGTTGTTTGTCTTGTATTCAAAATTGTAGATTTAATACCTTTCCGTTTTTCTTTTTTAACTTGTCGATGTTTATCAATTCAGCCGGAAGATGAGTTGCAAATAGCTTACGTGGTAAAGGTAGGTGCTCCATCAGATCAAGCTTTTCAGCTGCATAAAAATATATTCAATCATTATGCTATTAGTTCTGTGTAAAATCAATCAAGAGATATATTAAAATTTAAGTTACTCACCCTTCCAAACTTCTAGCATTGACAACGCTGGAGGTATCGACTTAGAAATAGCATCGAGCTTTTCATCTTGCCCGTAAAATATTTGGCGAATAATTTCGGCCGTCCAATTAGTTCCTAGAATGACAATTTTAATATAAACTAAAATTGTTGAAAATTTAATTTTAATAGTTCAAAATTTAAACTAAAATTTTTATATAGCTCAACATGGTTCAAGCAACATGCGACGATATTGAAATATTTAAAACTAAGCAGTGTTATTTACTGAAGCAAGTGTTTGTTTCAAAGATCACATTCTGTTAAATTGAATACACCAATACCTGCATAGAACGAAGGCCTAATTTCGAAATATTTACCACACAATTTTGTGTGTGTGTGATAGGAAAATATATGGCGCTTTCAACAATTTAAGTCTTTTGCTCAAGACAATTTGAACCAAACTTTTTATATGCCTATAGTACTCTCTTGGTGTACTTAATCGCGGTTCATCTTAAGTGTGTGTCTTTCATTTCTATATGCACGACAGTTCATTAGAAAATGTTATACTGTCACTGAAACATTACAGCAATCGCAAAGTCCATTATTATGGCATCCTATTTTTTGTAATTTGTTGGAACCAGTTCTCTCTCCGATTAAGCGTGTGCCCATGTATGTTATATATATCGCGCATATGGGCTATTCCAAGTGACACTACAGGACAATTCCAGAAATTTTGCATGTTGTTGGATGCAATATATTTTCAGCTACATGTTTTGTTTCATTGTTCAATCAGTTGCTTTATTGAATATGTAAAAAATTGCACAAAAGTTACACCCAAGACTTACTTGTAGATACAAACAATATAGTAAAATATAGCGTGACACTACAGGACGGCAAATCCACCATGCAATAACAGTACGTTGTGTTGTGCTGTAAATTTTTGCAATGGTACAGCAGGAGCCCATAATATTTTCTGGTGGAGTAGCTGAACGACCCCTCTATGTGTTGCTCAAGTTACTTAATGTAACACTGTAAATCCATGCCAACAATGTGCATATTGTATGTGACACGACAGGACGTGACACAACAGGACATTTTTCCGCTTCGGAATAGTGGCCTCTATTATCTCTTAAAATTCTGGAATTAAATCGTTAAATGGGTGAAGAAATGTCCTACAGCACTGCAAACATTTAAACTTTAACTTAAATCCAGTGCGTCAATTTCATATGAAATAACTGTACCATACAATCAAACACTTTGTGTCAGGAATCATCACAAAATATGTCAATATACCAAAATTTCTACATTTCAGGCCATTTTTTATAAACCATCAAAAACCTGAAATTTTAAATTGTTCGATGAAATGAATGCAGTCCAATAATATTCCAAGGTCTTTTGATATCAAATAAAAATACTTTCACTACACTTTTCAAGAAAAATGATGGTCAACTTTTGCTTGGAATGGCCCATATACCGTATGCTTGATCTTTGCGTAAACTTCGTTTCAAAGATTTTACCTTTGACTTTTACCTACCGTACCATGTTTCGTACGTTTTGGTACATAATCTAAGCTTCAGTGTGTAAATATACATTTCACGCAGACTTTTCCTATTTGATGTGATTATTACATTGAATAAATCGTACAATGAAGTTTGGTATCTGTCGGACAATACTGGGGTTCTATGTATGAAAGGAACCAGATAAAATGATATGGATCTTTCACTGGTCTGGGATGACAGACAAAACACAATAAAATTCTATCCTTGCCTTTAACCAATTGAGTACATCTTTACAAATTATTTTAAACTTTCGCAACAAAGATATTGTAACATATCTATACTAACAGATGCATAAGAATTATAGAGTTAGGAGAAAATATACCCGTCGTCATTGGGAACATTATCAGACGTTTGATACTCAATACATTAAAATCCACCCAAAGCGTAGATGTAAAAAGCTTTTAATATTTATTTTTATGGAAAATGTTGTCACCAGACCCAATTTGCATTTTTAGTAGTTTCGGTTTGATTGCGTCTAGGTTTTGGTTATCATGACAAATTTCAGTTTGTTTAGACATTCTGCCATGCTTTTGTTAGCATGGATGGATAGATATTAAATGCTTTGTAGAGCGATTTTCATAACTGAAGAGTGTGAGAAATTTAGTCTTTTGCCATTAGGCATGAGGCTCAATTAATTGTTTTCTCGGTGTGTAAAATATTTTTAACTGCAAACCTGTTTTCGGAAAAGATGCCAGTAGAACAGTATTTTCTTCGAATTCGTAATTGTCATATGCTCGCTTTGCAGTATCTGCTTCGAATAGCGGAATAAACTTGTATCCTTTCCATTCACTACATGTAAGCGCACCAAAGTCGAATGTACGTTGCACAATTTGTTCAACCAGAGCTGTCAGTTCTTGAACAATTATCTTTTTGTTGTTCGGTATCGAAGCAAATAACTGATTCATGATAATGTTTTGGTTTCATATAACTTATCTAGCTAAGCTTTGTATATAATAGAAAATCATTAAAAAAAATTATATAGTTGAACCGCTATGCAATTAAATGCTGTATCATTCCTTTTATTATTTATTATCAGTAATAAATGTCGTTGCTCTCGACTGCGGCCCTGAGTCATCTAAAGATGATTGTTCTAAAATTCGATGCCTGCAGTAGCCAGTAGCCACCACTATTATTTCGGATTAGCTCGTTCTATATGTAGGCCTACTTGTTTCTTTGAGTCCACGACAAACTATTTTTACCGAAGTCAGCTTCTTCACGATATTGGTAAATGATGTGCCGTAATCTGTACAATTTTCAAAACAAGATATTTCAATTTCAACATTCACTAAAAAAATGAAACTTTGCACCCATGCACAACTGCATAAACTTAATGAGTTCACATTTCTATCTGACTCAATGATCTCGTCAATGACCTAATTTCTGTATCGTATATATTTATCTAGTTTGAGTTACAATGTTTACTTAGTCTTATCACGTAGTACAAATTGACCCTATACGACTGCACTTTGTCCGGTGTATGCTTTGCAAGAAAACTACTATAGCAGATTGTTGGTTCAAATATATTACTATCGTTCCATTGTGGAATGCACTGTTAGCGTCGAACAATACAAAGACTGTATTAAACTTTAATAAATTTTAAAAGTTTCAACTATTTATAATCAATAAATTCATACTGTAAAACTGTACATGAGCGTCGGCAAATAATGTATTGTTTGCTCAACACGGTGCAGAATTTATGGAAATAGCTTGTAATATATACCTCATTGTAATATTTACAAATGCGAACCTTTGGGTAATATAACCTTTAAAGCAAACAAGAGAGCGATGCTCAAATATATGGACAGGACTGAAATTGTGTGGCGTTGAGTTGTCACTAATATCAGTCGGCACTAGGGAAACGCTATCCAAGTAGGTGAGTTGTCAGTCTCTCGAGCATAGATATCGTAACTTCGCAGACTGATCGCTCGGTATTCGGTCTTCCTCTCAAGCATCGATATCGCAAATTCGCAGAGCGATTACTCGGCCGATATGTTGTCTGCCTTGCGAAAATAGGTCGCTCAAGCACATAAAAATGTCAATGTGAGAATATTGATGTGTTTTTCCTGCCATTGGAACCCCGAAATAATCGAAATTACATCTATATAGTCTTATTATAACATGCCTTGTAGAAAATGTGACAATACGGACAACTCATCATTACTCTTGTCTAGGTAGTCGAATTGTCTCAGGTAAGTTATCCATGTAGTCGAGTCTCCCGCCTCCCGTTCAATAAACTGCGCTTAGAATAAAGGATAGGACGAAATAAACCATTTTGAATTATGAAGTCACAATAAGCGTGCAATATATTTAAAAACGACTGTATAAAATCTGAAATACAGTGAATATAACAACGGCATCCTCTTGTTGTGTGGGCATGTGTTCAAGTCCTAATGTCGTGCATCCCGTAGGTGGCGACGAAGAATATGATTCAAAACCGATACCATTGCGGAAGCGACAATGCCGAGACTTGCCATTTCTTGCCTGCTATATATTATTCGTTGCTGCATTTGTTTCAATATCCATGCACTGTTTTCAGAAATGTTATCCGTCGTATGTATGGGCTGGGACCGACTCATGGGGGAACGTTTGTGGAGGCGATCCAAGCTCTTCGCGTGTGGTTGAAGACGTTAAAGGATCGGGCGACGTAAAGGCCGATTCGACGTATTTGTGGAGAATGCAATGCATCAATACAACCTTGAGATTCTGCGTTAAAAAATGTCCTGAGTGGTTGGAGAACTCGTCTATGTGTTCCAACATATTTTGGGAAAATGGCTACAACTTTATCAATGATACAACATTGATAAATGGATGTGACGACGCGTGTGCACCAAAACGATTGAAGTGAGTTGCCATGTATAGTAGACATGAGGTGGTATGCTTTAATTGTCACTTGACTACCATAAAACGGCTACCAATCAAAATAATAGGGAAAATTCTGTCTATTTTCATCTAATTTATATACTAATTTCAATTTGCTATTGTATGGCAAACTTTCTAAATGTCTAGCATGAGCAATATTTTGTAAAAAGAAGAACAAGTCCTTGAAATTGAAAGTATTGATAAACCCAAAAAATACGCCGCATCAGGCTTGCAATATTTAATCAGTTAGATTTTTCTTAGATAGTCTTTTTTTAAATAAAGTAAAAAACGAGTTGGAGAATTTCTTCAACCATATCTAATATGCAAATTTGCACATTTATTTTACAGTGCCAGCAACAGCATCGTTATATTGAACAGATGTATAAAGGAGACACTAGTGGAGGGTGGTTATGTCGAAATTGCAGATTTCCTCACTATTTTCAGTTACGTCATTGATGATATAATAAGCAGTCTGAACGCAAGCGGATCAATTTTCGTACTCATACTTATCGGTAGCATATTTATGAACATGCTTCTCGTTCGCTTTCCGAAATATGCATCGCTGTGCTGTTATGTGACATCCTTCTTAATGACATCACTGGCCTGCTCATACATGATAGCGCATGTGGTCAAGTTACTTCCCGGCATGACAGATTATGAAAACGCTGTTTACAACAATAAAAGATTATTTACGACATCGCGAACGATTCCATATTTATTAACATCCGTGTTCTGTATTTTTGGAGAATCCTTTATAATTTACTGCTTGATTTCATCAAGAGGTAACTTTAGTAAAGCAAGGGGATTGTGGCATAGTGCATCACTTTGCATAAATGAAAATCCAAAAATATTGAGCCAGCCTCTGCTCACCTTATTCATAAATGCCGGAGCAACTTTTCTCTCTGTTTTGTTGTTTCTCTCAGTATTGGGCTGTCGAGAAATCAAAGCATCAGCAACAAATCAATATGTTGAATTCGAAGCTAACACTGATACTTGGATACTATTACCATTATTGTTGTTCCATATATGGTTTCTAGAATTAGTTGGACGATGTCAAGCAGCCATACTATCAGGAACTGCAGCAAACTGGTATTTCAAATCTCATAATCACCCAATAACCACCGCTTTTCAAGATGTACTGCGGTATAATATGGGCAGTCTTGCAGCTACTTCATTTTCTGGAAATGCCACGGAGAGAATCGAACTCTTTTTAAATGGATTCAACAGCACAAAGTTTCTGGGATATTTTTCTTCATTGTCATCTATTTCCATTGGAGTGTACGGAGAGCTGAGAGATACTATTTTAAAATGTTCAGGAAGCAAACAAGTTGAAAGGGCAGTTACAAAAGCTTACTATGAAACTAGAAACGCAATTTGTGCATTCAAAATCGGTTTAACGTGCGCTTCAACGAGCCTTTTTCTTGCATTGACATCGAATATTCGATTGTATATTCCTTCAGTCCTGATTTTACTGTTTGGTTCAATCGTTTGGCTTGTGGTGGGAATTTTTACGGCATCTTTACTTGAGACCATCGCCGGATTAGCTATCTGCATATGGGAAGATTTTGAAAGGAACAACGGAGATGAAAGGCCATATTATTGTGACCGTAAAGTTGCGCATCTTTTACATAATGTTATTCTTCCTTTACATGCAACACATAAAGGACGAATACGGATTAAAGAGCAAGAAGAGCGTATAGAGATTATGAAACAAAAACCCTCTAAAGCTCATTCCCGAAAAACGAGTGTTCATAAACTCGCAAAAAATACGAGTAGACCACTCGAGAAAAAATCAACAATGCGACATGTAGCTAGCTCGCATATAATCTTAAAAAGGATTTGTCATGTAGAAAGTCAGTTGGTGAATTATCAGTCTCCCTCTAGGGAAAACATAATACCTGGTGAAGATGCATGCCCCGTCAGTAACCAATTTTTGGCATGTGCGAATATTGATAATTCATCACACGAATTATCAATGTCTCAAATATCGACAAACAGTATTGAAAGCGAAGAACAAATGCTAGAAGCACAGCCTCCAGTTCCGTACTCACTCAACCAAAAATATGAAGATGAACTTTCAGCAAATGATGATATATTTCAACCTTCCAACAATAGAAAAAAATCTGCCAATATTTCAATACGTACAACTGACTCAGCAGCTTTCACAGTGAAGACACGGTTACCCAAATGGAGAATTTTGGCACTTTCAACCGCAAAAATGATGCAGTACTCTAAAACAGACAAAACAAATGAAATAAAAATCATAAAATCCATTAAGAAGGAGGATTCCAGCGATATATGGGACGGTTGGTGGTGACAAAGACATTCCATCTATTTTACACATAATATATACGTTTATTCTCTTCATTTATTTACCAATTATATTTTGATTTGTCGAGTTTTTAAACACACAAAAAGATGTGTTTGCACTTGTTCTTCATTGTTTTCTAATAACACCAAAAAACCTAGGGGGTTTGTAAACTGTCTCGTAACACCACCTCTCAGATTTTGTACCTATGGTATGAACGGTATGTTCATTAAAGAATTGAATTGTCTTGAACAAATTAAGATAGATGAATTTTGCACGACACGAAACTCATGTTGCGAGTTGAAACGGTATCGAATGGAATTCTGGGATTTGATCATATTGTGATGTTGATTACAACTGTCCAGAGCTGCCTCCGCTAGAGTCAAATAAAAGACAGCACCGAAAGTTAACGTGAAGAGTCGTATATTCTTATATAACTTATATATGTATATGCTTATTATTTTTTAATTTCAATTAAGAACACTCACAGATTTCCGTTCTTCTCTGTGCACACGTGCACGGTGCAAATTTAAACAGTTCAACAATCCAGGTCCTTCCTTCGACTGTTTCCCAACGGCTGTTCTTTTGTTTTCTAAAATCCTCAACTATTACAGTTTTTATCTGTTTATGAAGGAGATCTCATTAAAAAGTATCTCGATTTTTAAATACCCAGATGGCTACCTAATAAAATATTGAACACCCAAAAGCCTGAAAACTTCATCTGCGTATGACAGTCTTTTGTGCCAAGTTTCGTTGATGTGTGTTACTTCTCAAATCCTAAATATAGAATCGTTTATATACTGCCTTTTTCCTGATAATGTGTTTACTTGAAAGTTGATTTGAAATTTTTTCAAATATGCCTATTGCCATAAAATCCGAAAAAAATTTTCAGTCATCATCTATGTGCAACAAAACTTGATTCATAGAACCTGTTTCGGACTTCTTCCTATGGCTAGGGCTGGGAATTTGGAAAATCCAGCCGCTAACCAGGCGGTTAACGACTGGCGGGGTCAAAGGCGCAGCATAAAACAATGGAAAAAATGGAAAAACACGTCTCATTATGATTATAAAGCAGTTTGTCATAAACTTTCCTTAGTATTGCTTGAAATTGTGGACGGATCGAAAATTCCCTTCTAGTAGTTCTTTTTGGTCACTCTTTCACAAAAGAGATGCAAACTATTTTAAATATATTGTATTTTAATACCGATTCGGACATTCAATGTAACTTACGTGTCAATGTTTCAATTCTGTATTCAGTGCGGCGGCGACATTGTGAACTCGCAGCATCTGGCACTACTTCCCGAAGATATTTCATTGCTTATGTTGTTTCCACAGAATTTGTATGTTTCGAATGTTATTCCCAAAATTAGTGTCATATAATTTGTATTGAATGGTGAGATCTGCATCTGTTCATGAACTTTGTATTGTCACATTTTTATTGCTAGCAGTCATGGTTTTCGAAGTCATTTGTTGCGTTCATGCCATTCATGGCTTAACTCAATTAGTAGTACTATGAAGTATATATCACAAAATAGGTATATGTGCAAATTAATTTTTATCAGGGGAATTCACACTGAAAAATGGACGCCTACCTTGGATGCCAGTTAACGGTCTAACTAAATTAATAGAAACCATTAACCATCTATAGTAACGGTCCACCGATTTACCGACTATTCCCAGATCTACTCACTGATGTGAAGATATTGATAACTTCGTTCAGCAACAGTGGAAAGTAATGGATCGGTTGCGCTGATTACATTAGGTGTGTGGATGGTCATATAATCAAATTCTCCATTGAATATTTGGCAAATGGTTTAATTTTGATACGAGGGCTACTGCAAATCAAATACAATGCTCATGTAAGACTTACGCTTTTATGAAAGAGTTTGTAGAGTATTTCCACGTGGATAAAGGATTTTCAACAAAAAATCAATGTCCGTCATTCGGGAGGCGAAAAACAAGATCGAAGGGAGAATAGTCAAAAACTGCACTGTCATTCAAGAATATTCTCCATGGCTCTCACGATTGCCGAATTTAGCTGACGTGGGCTGTGGATAGGACTTGCATTTAAGGGACGATTATCTTTGGACAAACAAGATAATTCAATAGTACTTTATCGTAAACCCAACATGACTAAGCAAACAGACGAGCAAAAAGACGTTGTTGGCATTTATTGCGCGATTAACTGTGATAAGGTCATAGTACAACGGGGAGTATTATTTCGAATGCGTTTAATTCAGAATTGGTGAGCCTCGGCTCGGCTGCAAAAATCTTCGTTGGTTAATGATGCCAATTGAGCATAGATATTTTAATACATTCATGCACGTGTATCGTGATTCATATACTTCGTAGTGCGTTCAAAATATGAATATAAAACAGCCAGAATTGTGTTATTGCAATCGGTTATTTGTAATATTTTGATGATATAGAATTTGGGGGCGAATATTCAAGAGAGCCGTGACTGAAAAATATATGATATTTCAGTTCTATACCTGCTGGGGTATATCAAACACTCATATGATAACAGATTGTGGTTTAAATTAGTTTCCAATGCGCTGGTCGCGTTTGAGTATTTAGGACCATCCAGCAAAAGAATATTTTCTAATCTAATTCAAGATCGCCTCAAGGGATTCAAAGAATATGAATTATTTATAAAAACCTCACATGCTGTTCAGGAGTCCGGTCGAATATCATGTGTCATAGAGAAGTATCCTTCTCATATATATTTTGTTTGCTAATGGAACAATATAAGGTTTTCATTTTAGTAATTTTTTCTTGTTCCATCATTGCAACTATCAGCATCCAATTTTGAACTAAGTGTGTGCAATGTTGTGAATTTAGAGTTCTTTCATTATAACATTACAGAAAAACGTCAAACAGTAGTTAATAGTAGTATTCATAGCTTCCCTTCCCGATGAGAAAAAACCTATAGTTCAAAAGTTGTTTTCAACGATGAAGGGAATGTTGGGACAATCATTCGATGTTAAGTCTATGAAATGTAGCGAGTGGAAAAGTTACAGATTCATTCCATTTTTTTGAAGCAGAGACCGCAAGAAGAGCATATGAAGATTATGAATTTGAAGAAAATACTATTCTTTTGGCATCGTATCCAAAAACAGGTGAACTGTAAATCTTAGGTCAATATCTTCAAACATCTATCGCCAGCCTAATAAAAAAATGACCCAAGTCATATTTTCGCATTTTGGGTAAATAAAATAAAAAATTCATATCTTTCCCATTTCTCAATCTGTTTCAAAAATTTCTTTATTTAGATTTATCTTATCTCATTATTAATTATTTTAGAATTCATATTACTTACAAATTTTATTTCATATGCGGTAAAATTGACATTTTTTTTATTCCCGCACCCTGCGTTGTGCAATATTATTCGCATAACCTAAGTGCATTCGTCAATAATTGAAAAAAAAATTAGCGGGTAACTCCGATTGAATTAATATGTCACAAAATGCAATGTACCTCCGTGACTATAATTTGGCTATGATGAACATTGGACTAGATGTGTTTTTATTCAATTGATATATATGAGGAATGTAAAATTTCACAATTAAAACAATATAATACAATCAAAACATCAATAACTTATTTTGAACCTACAACATCAACATGAACAAACAACTTCAATACATGAATTCAAAGTATAATTCACTAAAGTTCATATAATATACTCGTGAGAAAGTTATCAAAAATACGATGGCAGTCAATTGGCCTTGAAGATTTCCTTGAACAGGCTGGAATACGAGATCTAACATTGGCACCCGTTGACTTTGAACATTCTTCAAATAATATTGTGTAATAGGATGTACTAGCTCTGGTTCTAGGTCCCAGGACTTAGGGCATCGATGGTTGATGCGGCAGTGAACTTGCGTTAGGTTTGTTTGCAATCACTGGTTATTTTGTGGTAAGCACTGCCTGTAGGTCCATCATCCAACCTGATTTATTTGCACTTGCAGAATCTTTGTCGGTCATCTTTTCTAGCATCATCCTTCAGTTACATCAGATGATCTGTTTAACCTCATGCGTCCCAACCAGAGTTCAATATTACAAAATGCCCAATAAGGCAACCAGTTTGGTGTTTTGCAACTGCTGCAAACCTGGGAGTTTGTTTAGTAACTTAATTTTTTAGTATCAGTTTTGTTTCGAACATACTTTTTTGTATTAAATAACTTAGGACACTGTAACAAAATATGGAGATTCGCGATAAAGGTATTTTCCTGGTCGATAATTACACGACTCTCTCAACGTAATTGTGAGATGCCCGATTTTCTCCCGAGCGGTCGTCCGAGCTTATTGGGGGCATCGATGGTTGATGCGGGAGTGAACTTGCGTTAGATTTGTTTGCACTTACTGGTGATTTTGTGGTATGACACCAGTGCTACGCTATATGAGACGCTGCTGGTCTCAAACGAAACAAAAATCATTATTGATATGGACTTTGCGTGCAAGTCCACAATGAACTACAGAGAGAAATAATCTACTGTTCGATACTTCACCCAATAAGTGGTAGGCCAAATGTATATACATTGTACAGTTTCATCATAGAACTGATTCAAATATCAGATAACGAATTACACTTGGAACCTTAACTTAACGTAAGTATATGAGATGAAACCAATTTTCTAGCTAACAAATAACGATAAAACAAAAACGAGCAACACTTGAGCGAGGTGGAAAAGACATCCTCAACTTGTTCGCATCTAACGTTCCATTAAAACAGGGGTGGCCAACCTTTCACATACCATGCGCCACGTTTTAAACATAATGTTTCAGATGCGCCGTAAATCTCTTGTATTCCCACGCCTAATGAGACTTTTGCTGCTGTTTTACTTTCGCCAGTTTTTTTATTCTTGGAGTTAAGTTTGTTACTGAGAGGAGCAGTGCATTCTTCAAATTTAAATCTGTAGGTCTTGACCTCGCTTTGCTTTTAATTAGTTTCATGGCACTGAATTAAACACTGAATGAATAAATTTCAATGACAGTCGCATATATCTAGTTAACTCAAAGAAAAATTCTCGTATCCACGCAAAAATTCGAGCAATTTACGATAAACAGATTACGATTGATAACGAAACGGGGAACCATTGTGACGCCATGCTTCAAGTAAAAACTACAGCCTTCCTGAAAGTAGGAGAAAAACGCATTCTGTCTTATGAGCATTACGCAATAAAGCTGTTTTTAACAACGAAGAGAAAAATGTACGATTAAGAAGTAAGGTTAGGCGTAATATTGTGACAACAGGCCTTTAGTATCAATATCTATTCTACTCTACCCTCGATTCTAATTGGCCTTTGCTAATCAGCTGTTTGGCCTAGCGTCGCGTGATTTTACTCCAGGCTTCTTCGAAATTAGTACTTGCGTCATAGCAAGCGATTTTACGCTTCGCTTTTGTTGACAACGGTCATTTGAAGTTTGGATGAAAAAGGTGATATTTAGGGGTCATTTTCAGCATGTTGTGGGTTGATTTGTAATAAATTTTTTAGGCTTGGGCAATTCAACTGGTTATTCAATGGTTATTGGGAGATATTTGGGAAGTCTGGGCAATGGAAAATCCATGTTTCAAGCTGATAAATGACGATTTTCTATTTTTCCAGAAGTTCTGAATTTTTTACTTCAGTAGGGAAAAAATAGTAAATTTTACGAATTTTTGCTAAAAGTCTAGAATGAATGTCATAAAATCCGTCCAAAAGCTAACGTCGATAATCGCCTGTTGTTTCTAATTCCAACAAGCCGTAAGTGGGCGACGTGGAGTAAGGAGAATAGATTTTAGGTACAATCAAAAGTCACCATGTAAATCGCAAAAAAACGGCTTGGCGTGGAGAAGCCAAGTGCAATTAACAATTTTGGCATGAAAAGGGTTAAAGATGCAATGCGCCACCTCTAATCATGCAATGCGCCACGTTTGGCGCATGCGCCATAGGTTGGCCACCCCTGCATTAAAATAATCATGAAGAAAATGATATTTGGCAACGACCTCGTTTCAGGCAAATAACATGCACTATTACTCTATTAGCAATAAGTGGTGAAAAGTATACTAATACACAGTAACTATTCTATGTACTCGCTACACAAGATTCATCATCAATTTCTATCTTTGGGTGGGTTATGTTGTCCTTAAAAGTTCCTTCATCTAGAAACTAGACTAATACTTAAATTGAATAATTACCGCAAATATTTACAGTTGAACAATTTGAAGCATACCTTCCTGATGAGAAACAGCTTAGCTCAAGCTTAAAATTAGTTGCAATGATGAGGAAAATATTGAAACAATCATTCGATTCCAATTCTATAGAATGTAGCGTGTAAGAGGATTATAGATTTATTCCTTTGTTCAAAGTATAGACGGCAAAAAGAGCATTTGGGGATAATGAATTTGAAGAAAATACTATTCTTTTGGAATCATATCCTAGAACAAGTTAGCTACTATAGTCTAAGTTTGTGGTCTTCAAAAATATTAGATGCGATGTCACGCGATTGTCTTTTTAACATTATTTCCTGTCGAGGCGCATTCTCTTTATTTTCAGATTTTGGCGCAGTAGCTCACTTTTGTGTAGTTATTAACTGTATAAACTCATTTTACAAATTAAAAAAATGCATGATCTGGAAGGATTTAAATATTGCAGAAAACGGTCGTATCATATCGTTGAGAGACTGTTGAAATCTTCAATTTAGCATTAGTTTTGGTAAAAAAGAATATATCGCACATAAATTCATTTTGCAAAAACATTTTAAGAACGAATTGGACAGCCGAAATTATTTGTCAAAGATAATATGGTGAAAATGGAAGACTTGCCGCGGTGTCCAAGGGACTTCCACCCACTTTGATCGCTTTAGAAACACGGCCTTGTACGATCATTGAATATGATGAGGAAAGGTGAAATGTTAAAACTACGTGTTAATGAAGTTGCTAATAACATATGTATTACATGTCTAAATATATCTAATTATTCCAAGTCTTCATATATAGTCGTAAGACCTGGGTATTGGAAATATGTCTAGCATTGTCTAATTTATTGTTTCGAATTCGCCAATGGGCTAGTTTTTGCAGTTGCCCAAAACAGATGTACTATGAATTGGTATACCTCAACCACATCCTCTATCGCTGCGATATTACTGCGTGCCACAGGTATACATCTGATATTGATATAAAACGCTCTTAATCGTTCCCAGGTTGTCGCCATTTCTTCGAACCATCTTCTCTCAGCCTCTGTTATCGCAAGTGGAATAAACCACAATACAAGTTGGTGCTGATGACTCCTAACAAATAGTTGAATCGCTCCTATCAATTGGCTTGAGCAACCAACATTTTCCAATTTGAACTTCACTGGCCGCATATTTCCTAATAGCAGGCAACTTGGAACTCCTAGGTTAATGCTTCATTCTTCAACACCAGCAGTTGGCAAGTCGTATTTTCCAAACAGACCACGCTCTCCTTTGTCATCGGTCTTAGCTGTTTTTCATTACTATTATTTTACACTAAGTCCTCAAACATATGGGATGGTAGTGGGCGCGATCGGTTTCAGTTCTTCATTCGTGTCTTGAAGGTTGCTCTGATTTTTATACATTTTCATTGGATATCCATTTTGTCTTAAGATCTTTTTAATGAAGTTGATTTCTTGCTTTTGTTTTCTTTCATCTGGTATTAGAGTTTTGGCGCGATTAATAAGGCTAACTGATATACTGATAACGGAACGTTTGTGGCCTACCGGGTGGTTGGAAATAAAATTCAGATAGCGATTTGTATGGGTCTTTTTCCTAAATTTATCGGTCGTTAACTTCCCGTATTCTTCTCTATGTATTTGTACATCTAAGAAGGCGATAGTCCTATTCAGGTCTTTTTCTATTGTAAATTGTATACTGGGTTTGTTGTATTTGTGTGGTCATTGAACAAATTGCAGAATTCTTCTTTGATAATGTTGAAGGAATCGTCAACATACCTTTCCCAAATTCTCGGGCTATTAGGGAAGGACTTTAAGGCTCTTTCTTCTACGTCCTCCATAACCATATTGGCCACCACGACCGAGACAGGCGAACCCATGCACGGCTGTTCCGAAAATTTGTTGATAGTGTTCCCCTATAAAACTTAAATTGGCCGCGCTTAAACAAATTGCTAGAGCTTCGCAAATTTAGTCGATTGAAAGTTTGGTCCTCTCCTTAATCGTGATGTCGTTTTTTAAACGTTTCCGGGTTACTCTTAGCGCCAGGTCAACAAGAAAAACGGCGTTGATTTTTCCTCTATTTAGATTGGAGGAACGAAACGAGGTCTCGAAACTCGGAAAAAAGAACATCAGCGACATGTAAATCAAAAGAAATACGAAAAATCGGCCCTCTCAAAACATGCCCTTTCTACAAATCACGGCACTGATTGGGAAAACAGCAGGATATCAGAGAATGAAATTCACTACAAGAAAAGACTCTTTCTCGAATCATATCACATTAACGAAGAGAAAAATTCAATGAACGATAAAGAAACTACATTGTTCCCGCATATGTATAAGTCATTGTTTAGATAGTCGCATATTTGTCTGAATTCGAGCCAGTTCACTCGCTATTATCATATTGTCATTTTTTCACGCCGTGTTAATTTTTACCTTTTATTTTTTGCTCTCTATATATACGATAGTATACTCTTCATAGCATGCCCTGATGAAGTTTTTCTGAATATAAATTCGAAACGTCGGCAAATTAAATCGTTTTGCTATACACCGATTGTGCTTCACTTATCTTCGACATGAATATACCTGGTGGCAATCAGTCGCAATATACAGTAAATGTTAAGTCATATCTGCATCAGAAGACCAACATTTAAGCGAAAAATTGGTACAATTCTGACATTTTGTTGAAATTCAATCATCGGTACAAATGTCTTGGATGGCAATTGGGATATATATATATATATGTATACGTCTCTTTTTCTAAATTGTATATATCGCACTGTGATTGAAAGGTCTGCGCTCGCAATTCTCATATTTGTAATTCATAAAAAAGTTGTCGTGGACCATGTATATAAGGGATATTGATACGCGAATCACGTCTGAACAAACAAGATACTATAATGCTATTCGACCGTAAAGTCAATATTTCAAATGACTAAGCAAAAAGAAGGATACTCTTCACGTTGTAAGCAAAGTATAGTGTCGACATATATTCTAATTGTGAGTCTTCCTCTTCAAAAAAAGTTGTTGGCATTTTATTGAGCGGTTAGTTGTTATAAGTCATCATATAGTAGGTAGAATTAATGAAATTAAGTTTATTTCAGGGTTACTGAGTCACAGCGTTTGATATTCCAGTGCAGAAATTTATACTGTGTAATAATGCTAATTTTATATTCTTTATTATTTCAACAATCAATTCATTCATAGATGTTTTAAAGTTTCTTGTACCTTATTGTTAGTTCAAATTTATTTTAAATACAGCCATAACGAGTGCTGTATAATTTTAATGGTGCCGTTAGTCGACAATATTATGACAATGTCAATATCGGATTTGATTTACAAATTTGAAAGCGAATATTTAAAAATACACAAAAGTAATGAAATGGCCAATCTATAACTTCTGGCATATATACATGAAGCTCATCCGATAACAAATTTTGGTCATTTACGAATCCGATAAGAGCAGTACTGGGGCATAATGTTCAAAAATATTATACTGTTCAGTTCAATACTTAATTCGAATTCTCTGCTTCAAATTTCCAAGCTCTATGGTTTTACTATTTCCTTATTTGATTTTTATATCTGCTGTTTTTTAATGGGACATGATATAATTTCATCTCGGTAAATTGTTTTGTATCTGGTTCCTCTTGTCGAGAATCGTCATCAATTTATAACTTGTGTATGTGATTTTGCGGGTTGAGAGCTCTTTAATGTATACTATACAGAAACGTGTAAATAGTTGAATAAAATTCGGGCAAATATTAACAATGGAGCAGTTTGTAGCTTCCCTTCCCGACGAGAAAAAACCTATAGCTCAACAATTGGTAGCAACGATGAAGGAAATGATGGGACAATCATTCGATTTTAAGTCTATGAAATGTAGCGAGTGGAAAGGTTACAGATTCATTCCATTCTTCCAAGCCGAGACCGCAAGAAGAGCATTTGAAGATTATGAATTCGAAGAAAATACTATTCTTTTAGCATCGTATCCAAAAACAGGTAAGCTACAAATCAAAGTTTACCGCTTTCGAAAATATGCGAGTGTTGTGAATATACTCTGATTCTCTTTTTTATTATAAATTCCACATCGTTTATATTTGTGTGTTTCTATTGATAAGTAGTAAAGTTTAAAATAGATCGCTTTTCCATAAAAAGCAGTTTCGATACTGTTGCGGCCTGTAGTCCAGTTTTTTAGAACGTTTCCGTGACCCGCAGAAGCGTATTTTCTATAGTTATATATTGACTGTATTTACAAATTACAAAAATAATCATTGGAATAGTTTACTGCAGAAAATGGTCGTATTATATCGTCAAGAAACTGTTTAAATTTTTCTTTTCAAATTAGCTTTGTATTCAAAAATATAACTCGACTTCATCTCGTGAAAACATTTCAGGAACTAATTGGACAGCCGAAGTAATTCGGCAAATATTATATGGCGACAATGAAAGATTTTCAGCGTTGTCCAAAGCACTTCCACCTCCTTTGACGGCTTTGGAAATCTGGCGTCGTAAGTAATAAAATGAATAGTCTATCATAACTAATATTACTTACCTTTCTATTCATTCACTTTTCAATTTGATGCACACATTTTATATATAAATTACGTATCATTTAGCGGAGAAACTTGATCTTCTCGAGCACATTCCGCTACCTCGCCGAGTTCTTTTGACTCATCTTCCGGAAGAATTGGTGAATTATGAAAAATTGAAAAAGAAAAACGGAAAGGTATAAATTTTTCACATGAACAGAATACAATCTCGTAGCGTTTTAAATTTTATCTAACACACATATACATTTATCTTCGAAGGTCGTTGTCCTCGTTAGAAATCCCAAAGACCAGGCAGTTTCTTGGTTTCATTTTACGAAAAATCGTCATTTTGATGGATTGCGTGATGAAATAAGCAGCGATTGGAATCAATTTCTATCGGACTACGTTCAGGGTATTTTTCCGCATAAAAATCTACTACAAACAAAAAAACAATAATACAATATCGTCACGCTAATAAACGAATTGCGTAAGTCATTTTTTTATAAAATAGGTATTTATGTAATGCAGGACTATTGTGACGTCACAAAGACAAAATAACCTCGGCGAAGTATTTTCGAGTTTTTGCATCTCGGATTCTATCTTAGCGCGTATTAATTTGAATATATACTACAGTATAGGAAGACGTGCACTTGTGATATTCACTGTCCGAGTCCAATTCACCTTGGTTGGCTTTTATATTGGGTGCATTGCTGTTTTATTCTTTATATTTAATCTTATTTCGGTGGGTGTGCAGAACGTGTTATATTATTGAAATATATATTTTTAAACATAAAAATATATGTAATTGAAACTGATTAGCTATTTTTGGGATTAGACATTGTAGATACTGAAAATTACATTCGTTTTTGGAATGTTTAGTTTCCAGGACTGGTGCATATAGTAAAGTTGCAAAATTGCGTATGTCCCCAAGTCATAGACACATTTCTGCCTAAGTCACAGTGCGCCATTATGACGTCACTTAACTGCGTCATACAAATTAACTTAAATCCGGCTGCGATCAAAAAATTGAACAATGGCAAATTATTGACTCAATGGCATAACAATTTCAATAGGAAGTTTTTTACGTTTTTCTCAAAACTGCTAAAAATGACTTACGCAATTCGGTTATTAGCTAGACGATATATATTTTATGTAAGTCAGGAAAGCATATTATATATTTCCAATACCATTACAATAACGAAAACTTTGTAAAATCATTTACGTACAGTTGAACTCAATCGATAGAAATATCATTCGATTGCTGGTAAAACAAGAAATGTGACCAGTCGTTCATTTAGTATTGTACTACGTATTGTGGTTTTGTTTATAATGACATATAGGCTACTATTATTAAACAGTATATAGCACATACAAAATCTTTTACACACTCGAAAATTGATTATATATATATGTCAAACTAGTTTTTCAATTTAGGTTATATATGAAACTAATCAACCAATCCTTAAAGATATACATCAATGTTTATAAGCATAAGCAGTCCTGGGACAATTTGTAATGGAGATCTACCTTCGTCATATAAACAAAGCTTATGCCTTCACATGATGTTTTAATATTTAGGAAAGCATCCCATGATAACAAAACCAGGTCAATGGTATCCAGACTTTTTACTTGGTTGGAACAAACACAAAGATGAAGATAATATTTTGTTTCTGGTGTTTGAAGATATGAAACGGGTTTGTGGTTACTTTTTCGTTGACACATTTTTCTGATATGCGCTTTCCGCGAGTCTTCAGAATGTTTAATTTTGAAATTTGGATGTCTAAACAGTCATATGATACAAACAAAACATGCATCTTCGCATTCCAGCTATGATTACGAATTGGGTCTGGACTGTTTCTTTACCTTGTTAGTATATTTTTTCTAGGATCCACAAAAAGAAATTCGTCGATTAGCAAATTTCTTAGAAGTTGAATTGAACAATGAAAGGGTATCGTCGATTGCTCAATCTACTTCATTTGATTCAATGAAAAAAGCTGCTGATGCTGGCGCTGTTGATTCAGCCCAAGTACACAAATCATTGAATATGATGAGAAAAGGTAAAATGTTCAATTTGCGGTTTAATAAACCTGATTACACTATTTGTATTATATATCTAAGTACGGTTCTGGGAAAATTCGCCGTAGGAAATGTCGTCGCAGGAAATTTCGCCTCACATGAAAAATCGCCGCGAGAGCATTTTGCCGTAAAACAAGTATTTGTGATAAAAACATTCAGGTTTTTGAAGTTAATTTTTATTCAAAAAAGATTCGTTATTAAGAGCATACCCATAACCCTACCTAACTGTTTTTATCACAAATACTTGATTGACATATAAATGCACTTGCGGCGAATTTTCCAGAAACGTCAAAATACATCTTAGACTTATGCTCAAGTATCCATTGCATATTATAATTTTACAAGCTAAACTGAATAACAATTCTTTTCTTTTCAGGTCAAGTTGGTTCGTGGAAGGATTCTTTCACGGTAGCTCAGTCTGAGTTGATGGATAGTATCATTGAGAAAAAACTCGGTGATACAGACATAAATTTCACCTATGTGCTATAGACGTAGTGAACATCTAAGCTTGCAGACAAACATGTCTAATTTTGACATTGCATTTTGAAATTTGTTCTCGTTCTCATTACATGGTAAATACTCGTTTTATTAGAATTGAGCAACATTGTAAAAATAAAAAACAAAATAATATCAAATAAATTCTTGTGTTGCAATACCATTTTTATTATAGTTCATTTTTATATAGTATGATTTTATTCGGGAATATCGTGTTGGTATTTGCATACTTTGGAGATACGATACGACAATGCTTATAATTTATTAACCTTCTTCGTTCATTACAACAAAATAATGAACTTGGACCTATCAAACAACGAGCGCATTGAGTAGATTGTCGCTAGCCCTGAAGTTATAATATGTTTACACACGATGTAGGATACAGAAACAATTTTCGGAATAAAAATTCATTCACTCCAAATATTACACTTCCGCGCTATTCAAAACAAAAACGATTTGCGTTAACAATAAAATTGTTTCAGCCTATATCCTCAATTCAGAATCCCGTCACTACTATTGGACATCTAAAATACCCATACGGACTTCTTGGAGTTAAAAATTTCGCCCCGGACTCCGACTTGTTTGGAAATTCGACTTCGGTTCGGGTCTCACCTGACTTCAATATCAGCAAGAATGCCAAACTCGGATTTTCAGCTCTGATTTTAATAGGTCGGTTTAGCATATAGCCATATATTTAGCTTGTTTATGTGTGAGCTAAGACACACCCTGCACACCTGGATTTTAAATCTTGACTAAAGTCTACACTCTACTGTATCCGCTGGCCCTTACTAGCTCGACTACCTTAAACGTCTGCCTACTGCCTTCTCATCATTCTCAAGGCGGTTAGCTATGCCATCGGATGCGCGGTGCAATGCGCGCCCAAAGTTTGGTCGATTGGTGTTGGCGATTATGAAGTTTCCCGACTGAACTCGTACCCCGGCTCAAGCTTTTTCTCGCCACCGCGGGATATCGTAACCAGGTAACCATACGACCCGCTTTAGACGGAACAGTCCCGCTTTTTAGCGTCTTGTCCCTCCGTCCCGACAAGTCAGCCAAAAGTTGAAGGTTCGGACGTTCACGTGAATGTAGCATTGGACAACGTCTTTTTGAAGGTGTTATCTACAGAAAAGCATGCTTGGGCGAATAAGTAAATTCTCAATGCTTGAAAACGGCAGACTATTTCATTATTCTTTATTCCCTTTGCTGTGTATAAAAAATTTAAATTCGGATCATTTGTATCGTTAGCGTCTATATTTCTTTCTATTTCTCGAACTGAACCCGATATTTAGACAGAGAATAAGCGCATGAACTCTCGATGACAATATGATCAACGAAGACAGTCGGGATGGCTTTAAATGTAGGCCTATGTATAGTGAAATCGGAAACTGTAATGTTTCAGGATCACAGCTAAGGGGTCGTGTCTTTGGAGGCGTCCCACTTTGAAGTAAAAAAAATATGGTAACCCTACCAGTAACTGATGTTTTTAAATTGACCGCTGGTGACGTAAGTTCTGTTTCTTAGGTCAACCAGGTTTATTATGTTATTGGTTAGTTACTACTATATATATATCTGGTACCTATCTATATCTTACTCTTCTAAATCTCCTAAGCATATTTCATAATTAGACGAGTATGGGCAATAACATTTTTTTGCAGGTGAACATATAGCCTTGATTGAAAAATATTTTTAAATAGTGAGCCGCGATCATATAAACGCTCAATTTTTGTCAGGACATTCCAAATGGAAAATTTTGATTTTTTACAACATGCCTAATGCGAAAGCGGGAAATTTTGTGATATTTTCAGTGGATTGTATATCAGCAGGCATTTTATTTTGGACGCGTTCAACGATAAGAGTTAAGAGCTTGTTTGACAACATCAGAAATATTTAGGAATTTGCTTCAAACGGGGTTTTTCAAATGTTGTAACCGATATGTACGAAGCTACTATGTTTCTTGAATGGATATAGAGATCTTTCAGATTTTGCAAAAGCCAATTCAGTTTTACTACACCCCAGTTGATTTCGTGAATATGCAGGTTGAATCGAAATTTGGCTATTTCAAAAACACGTGAATATGAAAACTGTTGTCGAAATAGAAAAGAATTATCCATCAAATTTTAAAATGACGTGCGTTCAAAATATTGCGAATAGCTAATCGGATTATTTTATCGTGTCATACCTTGTTTATACGTGTGTGTTTTTCACAACCTCAGCAACAACAATACGTTGCTGTTCGTGGATAGGTAGGGAAATCAGGAATATTTGCCCGCAGTTGCTCACCAAACTGTTTGCATTTTTACTCATTATTAAAAAAAGATATATATATACTAACTAAACAGTATTGAATATATATATCGATATTTGGATGTCGCAAAATTTGATAAGAGAAGAAATGTTTTATGGGAGAAATACAGAAATATTTCGCTCTTAGCACCAGTAAAATTTCATCCAGCATATTCGTACTCGTATTCACATACATTTGCACCCACATGTCCAGGATTTTAGGGGTTAAATTTGCGTCAGGGAGAAACGTTGAAAAGTGCTTAAATGCCAGGGATTATTGAATTTAGTGAATCCCTGCTACAAATCCTCGAGTTTTTAGATATTACGAAATGGAATTTCCATTAGAGCTATCGGATATGTCACACGAACGCGGATTGTGCCGGATTCAGATAATTGTGACGTCACATATGACCTGAATTGTCAGCATTTTGTAATAGGTATTTGGTTGCACAGCCGCTGAGGTCGGCGGCGGTTTCGTTCCGTTGTTAGTAAAATTCCACAATTTGTAAAATTCAATGTCAAAATAAACGCTTGCGTACTGATGAAAAATTTCGTTGTATATTCAGACCAGATTGGTGTAAAATTGCTTGGATAGTTTGCACTATTTGTTTGATGATTTGCACACAAATTACTTGTTTCAATGTAAATGTCACGGCAAATCATTGAAGTTATTTGTTATACATAAAAGAAAAAATGGTCACAATAGCATCTTTGTCCTTGCTTTATCTCACTCAGAGTTTAAATATTTGGCTTGTAATTTGTAGATGTTAGCTGAACATAACCTTCGCAATTATCAGCCGCGAGACAACATTCATTTGCGAAAAGAATTGTTTGCACAAGTACCTATAGATCCGAATACAGAAAGCAAGGTTTTACAACGTCTCTGAGATTACCAAAATTGAACCATCGGTAAAAGGCTTCTCACGCTCGGCGATACTTTCTGCAACTTGTGGCCCCCTTCCCGTAGATTTTGATTTTTTTAAACGCTACTTTGTATTACGTGAGGGAAAACTGCCCTTTTAAAAGCTTCATTCTTCTCCCAATCGTCTTTGAATAATTTTTTGGGTTTGGTTTCAAATATATTGGCGAACAATAAATATCACTTTAATATTCCCATCCCACCACTGCTTATATGTATATATGTTGGGTTGGCATATGAATATGCATATGAAATTTGGCAGTTCACTATATATGTATGCGAATTGTTTCAATGCGAATTTTGTCACGGAGACAACTTGCTCAACGTCCCCTCCGACAAGCTGGCAAGGACTGTTAAAAATGACTTCAGTGTTCAATGCCAAAGCATGATACATCTGAATCGGTGCTATCTAAAACGAGTAACACTAGGACGAGTACTATCACACGGCATCTTATGAAAAACGTGTTGAAGGGCTCTGAGATTCGGAACGACGTCCTAATAAAGGGGGTAGATTGTGAGGTAGCGTATGAATACTTTTACATATGATTCGAATAAAAATAATTTCGAGTCTAAATCCGAATATTTGTGTGTTTTTTCAGTTCAGTGTAAGGGTATTACTCCAAGAGTAAAACGAAGCATGAATGGGAAAACATGTACTGGGTTTGGTCGTGTTGAGTGACTTTTATTTTGCCAAAATTTGTTGTCATGTTGTTTTTACTGTGTGAAACGCTCCGAAATAATAATTTACACTAGAATATAAAATGCCTATCAGCTTCCGTTACTTACAGTTTTTGGCTTTTGGCTAGGAATGTTTGATTTATTATCTTTCTTCAGAAACAAAATCCTTCTCAAAAGTGATGAGAGCATTCCTGGTGGTAATTTAATATGGATTTGTTTTTAAAAACAGTACCGGGGTTTTGCGTGTTTTCAATACTAAATCGAACATTCCGAAACAAAATTAGCAAAATCACACGTCACCCAAAAATATTAACGTCAAGAAAACAACACTCATAAGAAGCATTACAACGGAAAAATCAAAATTCATCACAAATTCAAAAAATTGCATACTTCTAGGCATGCCCATTTTGACCTTTACTAATTAGGTTAATATTTTCATATACTTCTCACTTGGCGGTGCAGAGGAAATCGGGAATGTAGCGCAACATATTCTAGTTTCAAGTTTTGTTAATTACGATATATATATAATAATCTTGTAACATTATTCACTTTTATGCGATGGAGATGACTAAACACGTATGGGTTATTTAAATATTTAGACCATGGATGAATCAAATACCCAATATATTAAGAATGGGAACATTTATTTTTTGATAACATAAAACTGCAACAATCAGTTAAATATTTAAGCTGTAATTCTTAAAAGTTCGTTTACAAACAATAATGGACATATAATGATCGTGTTCTTCTAAAATTAACCTTCAGCTAAATGATAAACGCCAGTTATATATATATGCTTTAGTACCGTTTACAATACGATTTTAGAAGTAACAATGAGAACGAGGTAAACTTTGCAGAATTATGTTTTTTAATAAGGAATGACGTTATAATGCTATTATATATTGTTACGTTAACGATTATACAATGACACAATTGTATAGCTCCTTAACATTTTAAGTAGTCGAACTTAATGCTCTAAAACCCTTGCCAGTATGAAATATAACAACCGCGGAATTGCTACGCTCAGGAAAACATGTAAACGCAAGGAAAACAAAAGAGCCATGATGAACACAACACGTACTAAGAAGCGCCACAGGGTGTTTAATGTTGATGACGTCTTCGACCACACAAAAACGAATCCCTTGAAACTCACAGAAATTTTTGAAACAAATAAAAGTAATACTAATAGTCTCTTTTCGAGAAAAACAATCATTAATCGCTGAAAATTCCAACTAACAACAAAACAACAGCATA